TCTCTCTCTCTCTCTCTCTCTCTCTCTCTCTCTCTCTCTCTCTCTCTCTCTCTCTTTCTCTCTCTCTCTCTCCCTCTCTCTCTCTCTCTCTCTCTCTCCCTCTCTCCTCTTTCTTTCCACCCACTTAACCTCTCTCATCCCCCCTTAACCTCTTTCCTCCCCCCCCTTCCCTACAGCAACAAGTGCTACAGTGGAGAGAGATGTCAGAGGTGTCAAAATGTAATTGTATATATAATTTGTAATTGCTTGTAGTGTAGACTTAGTGTAGTTCTATGTTCTTGTTTGGTGGTGCACCCTCATGCTTGCCTGTAACTTGTACCAAGTTCTATAGTGCAACCCCACTTGACTTCGGCAACCTTCTCGTTATCCTCTCGTTCTACCCTAAACCCTAGCCATGGCTTCTTAGCCTTAGCTAGTATTTTGACATGGTTTCAGAGCTCGTTCGATCCTGGCCTGTGGGCCCACCCTATGCTTCCGCTGATGTCCCTGCCTATCGCGCCGCCCGGGCGCGCGACATTTTCTACCTGCCGCGCGCTCCGGGCGCGCGGCGTTTTTTCTTCCCGCCGCGCGCCTCGGGGCGCGCCGGTGTTTTCTGCTCGGCGCGTCGCCCCACCTGACCCGCGCCCCCGCCCCGTGGGACCCGCGCGCCGCCCTCGCGGGACCCGCGCGCTGCCCCGCTGGATCCGCGCGTCGCCCCCGCTGGACCTGCGCGACGCCCTGCAGGGCTCGCGCGCTGCCCCGCTGGACCCGCGCGACGCCCTGCGGGACCCGCGCGCCGCCCAAGGGACCCGCGCGCTGCCCCTCCTGGACCCGCCTGCCGCCCGCGCCCTGCCCGTTGCGAGCCCCCACTGCCCGCCCGCGCCCTGCACGTTGCGACGCCGCCCGCCCTCCCTCCTCCTCCTTTGACTTCCCGCTGCGCGTGCAGCCGTGTGGAGGGTATATGGGGCTGGCGGGGGTAAGGGGGGGTATGGGGTGTGGTGGGAGTGCGTGACCGGCTGCCCCTCCTCCTCCTCTCTCTCCCACTGCTGCAGCTGCCGCTGAGGGGGGGGGATGGAGTGGGTGAGGTTGGGGAGTGGCGCTAGCCGGGGGGGGAAGTGAGAAAAGGTTTGGGGCTGGAGGTTGGAAGGAGGTAGCCGTGTGTCGTCTGCTGCTCCAGTAGTCTGGGACCCTTGCTCCGGTAGCACGTGAGCCCGTTGCTGCAGTTGCCCGTGGGTCCGTTGCTCCAGCCGCTCGTCTAGCCGCGGAGCCAGTTGCTCCAGTAGTCCGGGGCCCTTGCTCTAGTAGCTAGTGTGCTAGTTGCTCCGTTGCCTGTGTGTCAGCAGCTTCAGCTGCCGCCTCCTACCTCCTCTCCTCTCGTAGTCCCTCCTCCTCCTCACTTGCCCTCTCTTTCTGCTGCGCTCTGCTTGGTGCACTACTTTCGGGGGTGTTTCTACACATGGTTCTTCACTGCAAGCAGTTAGGGGGTGTGTCAAAATGTAATTGTATATATTATTATGTAACTGCTGGTAGTGTAGACTTAGTGTAGTTCTATGTTTTCTTGTGTGGTGGTGCACCCTCATGCTGCCTATAACTTGTACCAAGTTCTATAGTGCAACCCCTCTTTGGTTTGGCACCTTCTCGTTATCCTCTCGTTCTACCCTAAACCCTAGCCATGGCTTTCTTAGCCTTAGCTAGTATTTTAACAAGAGGTCCACTGGAGATCCCCAATTGATCCTAGGGAAGGGTTACAGGCACGTCGGCCTAGGGGGTTATGGGCGCACTCACCCGCTACACAAACAAGCCCTTTTATCCCAGTGGTTAGTGACTGGGATTCTGACATGGCATCTGAGCGAAGGTTACGGGTCCGAATCTCGGTGTGTGCACCTCGGGCATCCCAGTGCGGGGGGGGTGTCAGAGGTCCACTGGAGATCCCCGATTGATCCTACGGAAGGGTTACAGGCAAGTCGACATTGCGGCCTGGGGGGTTATGGGCGCACTCACCCGCTACACAAACAAGCCATTTTATCCCAGTGGTTAGTGACTGGGATTCTGACAAAAGGAAGAGGGAAGGGAGGGACGGCCTGCTGGAGGTTCACACCCGCCACCCCCACGTCTCCCCCTCCCCTGCGGCGGAATCCGCGGAAGGGAAGGACGGGGGAGGGGGGGACGCGCTGCCACTGGCGCTCGCGGCGGGCGCTAGGCGCTGGACGCTTGCGTTCACGGGCGCCTGTGCTGGCGCTCGTCGTTGGCGTCCGCGGCGGGCGTTGGTCGCTGGTCGAGGGCGCCTGCGGTGGCGCTCGTCGCGATGGCGTCCGCACTGGCGTCCGTGCTGGCGCTGGCGAGGGCAACGGGCGGGCCGCGGGGCGACGTGACGAACAGAGCGACGAGCGGGCCGCGGGTCGACGTAACAGCAGGGGCCGACGGGCAGGCCGCGGGTCGACGTAAAGGCAGGGGGCGACGGGCGGGCCGCGTGGGGAGGAAACGGCGCAGGGCGACGCGGGGGTCGCGGGTCGACGAGACATAAAAAAATGCGCATTTCGCACTGAGACAAGGGCGGGCCCATGTTCCGGAGAAGAAATCGAGGTCCTTAGACCGGGACTAGCTCTGACACCATGTGAAGATAGTAGGCTTAGGAGAAACTTAGGTTTTAAGAAGAGAGAGGGAGTTGGCCAAGAAAGAGGGTTTGCAATATGAGAGAGTTACAAGATATAGGAGAGGTGGACAAAGGGGGGTATACCGTCAAGGCCCTACACTACAAGCTAAAATTGCAATTATATAAGAATACACCATATTCTAACAAAGAGGCCCTCCCAGAGCCCCAAGAGCACCACTTGCTCCAACGGCGAAGTGGCGGGCGGAAAGAAGAATAGAATCTTCTCCACCTCTTCCCTCTCGCTTCCCCGCCGCGAGTCGAACACCCACACTCGCACCGCGCTTCCCGCCGCGCCGCCTGCCCTGCCGCTTCCCCCCACGCGGCCCGTCCCGCTCCCCCCTGCGCCCTCCTCACCTTTCCCCATGCCGTGGGGAAATGCGCGGAGGGGTGAGAGCACGGGGAAATCGCGACCACACGGCGAGTTCGCGCCAAGTCAACAGACACGCGCGAAACTGCTGGTGAAATGCGGAGATGCGGAAATGTGAATATGCGGAGACGAGGATGTCTGAAAGTCGAGTGGGGAGAGAGGCTCACGCCGACGAGTATGACTACGTAGGCGGCCACTCTAAGGAGACTGTCAAACATTATATATGTTGTGTTTGTTTAGGCTACAGTGGGTTAGCCTATAGGGGGTACACAATTCTAGGGTTAGGTACTTGTACTGATTTCACTGCTAGTTCAATCATTCCTGTCTGTTGATTTCGACATGGTTTCAGAGCAGGTCCTTCGCTAGGACCGTTCTTAGGGCCCACCGCTACCTACCTACCTACCTACCTACCTACCTACCGTGCGCCCTCGTGCGCCTACGCGCCCCAGTGCGCCTCCTACCTACCGCGCGCGCGCAGCCCGCCAGCCAATCGCGCGCGGCTCGTTTTTTTTTTATTTTTTAACCGCGCGCGACCCGCTAGCTGCCCGCGCGCGGCCGATTTCTTTTGAGCGCGACCGGCTAGCCGCCCGTGCGCCGCTCGCACCGCTATAGCGCAGCCCGCAGCGGCCCCGCCGGCCTGCACATTGCCGCCCGCCCGCTGCAGCGCCCGCCCGCTCGTCGCCCGCTGCAGCTGCCGCCCGCTCGTCGCCCGCTGCAGCTGCCGCCCGCTCGTCGCTCGCTGCTGCTGCCGCCCGCTCGTCGCCCGCTGCAGCGCCTGCCCGCTCGTCGCCCGCTGCAGCTGCCGCTCGCTCGTCGCCCGCTGCTGCTGCCCGCCCGCTCGTCGCCCGCTGCAGCTGCCGCTCGCTCGTCGCCCGCTGCTGCTGCCGCCCGCTCGTCGCTCGCTGCAGCTGCCGCCCGCTCGTCGCTCGCTGCTGCTGCCGCCCGCTCGTCGCCCGCTGCAGCGCTGCCCGCTCGTCGCCCGCTGCAGCTGCCGCCCGCTCGTCGCCCGCTGCTGCTGCCGCCCGCTCGTCGCACGCTGCAGCTGCCGCCCGCTCGTCGCCCGTGCTTGCTGCCGCCCGCTCGTCGCCCGCTGCAGCTGCCGCCTGCTTGTCGCCCGCTGCAGCTGCCGCTACCACGGGCTCGCCGCTGCAGCTACCGCCTGCGCGTCGCCCGCAGCCGCTCCCGCTCGTGCGCCGCGGCCGCTACCGCCCGTGCGCTCCTGTTGCGCCTGCTACCGCTGCCGCTGCTGCACTCGCTCCCACTGCGGCCGCCGCTTCTGCGCCCACTGCCGCTCCCGCCCGTGCGCATCAGCTGCTGCCGCCCGTGTGCTGACACTGCCGCTATGGCTACTCCTACTGTACTTACTTTCGATGCTGAGGACCGTCCAGTGAAGTTCGAAACCTGGCTCGATGACCTCCACCTCTTTCTACAGCTCACTGCTAAGGAGGACGTTTCACTGTACGATCACGCCCTAGGCAACGCTACTGCCCCTCCTACCACTGCTGACAGCACTCAGCGCTCACAGTGGCAGACTCGTGACGCCCACGCTCGCTTCGCTATTCGTAACTCCCTACCGATCGACGAGCGCGAGCACTTTGGCCAGCACAAAACTGCTAAGGACCTGTACACTGCTGTAGTCGCTCGCTACTCCTCCCCCGCTTCTGCCACACTAGGCCGCCTCACTCTCCCCTACCTGTTCCCCGACCTGGCCTCCTTTCAGACAGTTGCTGACCTCATCACCCACCTTAAGACCAGTGAGGCCCGCTTTCGCGCTGCTATGCCTGACGAGTTCCTCACCAGCAACCCCCCCCCGCTCTGGATCACTCTCTACCACATAGTCACCCGCCTCCCCGACTCCCTGCGCACAGTCAGGGACCACTTCCTCTCTCGCTCCCCCCATGAACTCACCATTGCCCTCCTCGAGAAGGAACTGCTTGCAGCTGAGGCGAGCATCGTCGCTGTAGGCACCTCTCGTGGCGACCCCCGCACCCCGTTCTTTGAGGGGTGTTCCCCTTCCCCTCTCCTCCCCTCTGTCGCCTCTGCTGCTGCTGTCGACCTCCTTGGTGCTGGGAAGGTCGGGGCCGCGTCTGCTTCGAGCGGGCGCCGCAAGAGCAAAGGGGGCAAGGGTGGAGGTGGCGGCGGAGAGGTGGGGGGTGGAGGCGGTGGGAGTGGAGGAGCGGCTGGGGAGGCTAGTGGCGGCAGTGGGGGTGGTGACAGCAGCGGCGGGAGTGGCGGCAGGGGTGGAGGCGGCAGCGGAGGCGGAGGTGGTCGTGGCAGCGGCAGGGGTGGAGGTGGCCGAGGCGGTGGCGGCGGCAGTGGTGGTCGTGGAGGCGCTGGCGGTGGCCAGAGTCAGCAGCCCGCCCCGTCGCTTCAGGCCGCCCGTGAGTGGTATGCGCAGCGTGGCTTTACCTGCACGTACGTCATTCGCACTGGTGACCGCACTGGCCAGCAGTGTGGGAGGCCGCATCCCACACAGCGCTGTTTCGCGCGCCTTACTGACGCGTGGCGTGCCCAGTTTCCTGATGCCACTGACCTGCCCCGCTGGGCTGATCTGGAGAAGAAGGGAGTTGATATCTGGGCTTTAGACTTTGATGCTATTCTTACTGCCATGTATGCGATGTTTACTAGTGGAGAGGGTGCTCAGTACTTGCGTGTTCCGCCCGACCCGGGCATTCAGACCAGTCCGGCTGCCGCTCTAGGTGCTAGTGAGTCTGCTGCCCCAGGTCCTGGTGAGGCTGCTGCTCTAGGTGCTAGTGAGTCCGTGCCCTCTGGTACTGAGTCGACTGCAGCACTGCACACCTTCACACTGGACTCAGGCGCTTCTCGCTGTTTCTTTCGTGACCGCACTGTCCTTGAGCCGCTTGCTCGGCCAGTTGCTGTCTCCCTCGCTGACCCCTCTGGGGGTCCGGTCGTTGCGACCTCCTCCACTGTCCTTCCTTGTCCTGCGGTCCCGTCAGGCACACTGTCAGGTCTCTACCTCCCCTCGTTCTCTACGAACTTGGTGGCAGGTAGTGCGCTCCAGGACGGGGGTGTTCACCAGTTCACCCCTGCTTACGAGCGCGTGACCCACTGCACGTGTGCTCGGACGGGCCGTCACCTGGCTACCTTCACTCGGCAGCCGGGGTCGGACCTGTACACACTGACCACTGAGTCCCCTCAGGTAGCTGCGTCCGCGTCTGCGTCTGCGTCAGGTCAGCTGTCCGCCCCCTGCTCGTGTCGCTCTCTGGCGCATGAGACTGTCCTCTGGCACCACCGCCTTGGTCACCCGTCTGTGCAGCGCCTTCGGGCCATGCACAAACGGGACCTTGTTGCTGGTCTTCCCAGGGTTCTCCCTCCCCTCCCACCCTCGCCTGCTCCTTCCTGTCTTCCCTGTGTCGAGGGGCGGCAGCGCGCCGCTCCTCACTCCTCCTCCTTCCCCCCGACGACTGCTCCTTTGCAGACGCTCCACATGGACGTGTGGGGCCCAGCCCGAGTCCGTGGTCAGGGTCACGAGAGGTACTTCCTGATTGTTGTTGACGACTTCTCGCGCTACACCACGGTCTTCCCCTTGCGCACCAAGGGTGACGTCCCTGATGTCTTGATCCCTTGGATCCGCAGATCTCGTCTCCAGCTCAGTGAGCGTTTCCGCTCCGACTTCCCTGTCCTGCGTCTGCACTCTGACAGAGGTGGGGAGTTTTCCTCTGGCCTCTTGGAGGCCTTCTGTCAGCAGGAGGGCATTGAGCAGTCGTTCACGCTTCCGGCCTCTCCACAGCAGAATGGGGTTGCTGAGCGCCGCATTGGCTTGGTCATGGAGGTCGCTCGTACCTCCTTGGTTCATGCGGCTGCCCCCCACTTTCTGTGGCCGTTTGCAGTCCGATACGCTGCGCATCAGCTCAACCTCTGGCCCCGTGTCTCCTTACCGGAGACTTCTCCGACACTGCGTTGGACGGGAGAGGCTGGCGATGCGTCGCGTTTTCGGGTCTGGGGATCTCGAGCTTTTGTTCGCGATACGTCCGCGGACAAGCTCTCCCGTCGAGCTGTCCCCTGTGTCTTCCTTGGCTTTGTCCCGGACGCGCCTGGTTGGCAGTTCTACCACGCCACCTCGCGTCGTGTCCTGGCCTCTCAGGACGTCACTTTTGACGAGTCCGTCCCCTACTACCGCCTCTTCCCCTACCGCACTGCCCCGCTCCCCCCCCCGCCTCTCTTCCTCGCTCCAGGTGCTGAGGTACCAGACCCCCTCCCCCCTCAGGGTGCCGCTCCCTCAGGTGTGTCCCAGGTAGACCCGGTTGAGCCTGTCGAGGTAGCTGTTGACTCTCGTCCTGCTGGGGGTGCTGAGCCTGACCGTGAGGAGTCTGGGGGTGCTGGGCCTGGGGGTGCGGAGCCTGGGGGTGCGGAGCCTGGGGGTGCGGAGCCTGGGGGTGCTGAGCCTGGGGGTGCGGAGCCTGGGGGTGCGGAGCCTGGGGGTGCTGAGCCTGGAGGTGCGGAGTCTGGGGGTGCTGAGCCTGGGGGTGCTGAGTCTGGGGGTGCTGAGTCTGGGGGTGCTGAGCCTGAGCGTGCTACACCTGGAGGAGCCCTCTCCTCCCGGCAGCTGCAGGAGCGGTACCTACAGTACTGCCGCCTCCGGAGAGGTGCTACTGGAGCTCGTACCAGTACTTCCCCTCCTGCCCAGGAGCTCCCCCCCATTCAGCAGATCCGAGAGTGGTACACGCGGCGCTGCAGTCTTCGGAGTGGTGCTCCTGGTGCTGCGGACCCTGAGGGTGGCGCTGCTACTGGTGCTGAGGACCCGGGCGTTGGAGCTGCTGCTGGTGCTGCGGACCCGAGCGGTGGCGCTGCTGCTGGTGCTGAGGACCCGGGCGTTGGAGCTACTGCTGGAGCTGAGGACCCGGACGGTGGAGCTGCTGCTGGTGCTGAGGACCCGAGCGGTGGAGCTGCTGCTGGTGCTGAGGACCCGGACGTTGGAGCTGCTGCTGGTGCTGAGGACCCTGCCGCTGGTGTCTCTGCTGGTTCTGGAGACGCTACGCGGCCGCGACCGTACTTCGTACCACTTCTTCAGCAGGTTCTTGGTCAGGCTCCTCCTCCTTGTCCTCCTCCCTCCGTAGAGTGTCCTCCGCCTGTCCAGTCGCAGTCACAGTTCCCGCCTGCCTCGCCTCTCCCTAGTCCCTCTCCTTACACTGGTCCCACAGGAGGTCTTACAGAGCGTCGTGAGCCTGAGTCTCGTCCTGCGTCGCCTGTTCGTACTGCTCGCACTGGTCGTCGTGTCCCACGTGAGCGTCCTCCTCCTGTCCCTGGCACTCACTACATGACTCTGCGTCCCTCCACTGCTCCTCAGCGTGTTCCGCTGCCGTCTCCTCCTGCGTCCTCTCTGCCTACTCTTCCTGATTCGGAGTCTGACTCCCGTCGTGCTGCCAGTCCCACTGTCACCCGTCTCCTCGCTACTGTTGTCACTGACCCTACCTTTGAGTCCTCTGCTGCGTCTGCTCTGGTCGCTGAGTTGATAGACTTTGCTGCCCGGTGTCGTCTAGACTACGCCACTAGCCTTGTTGCTGAGTCTGAGTCTGAGTCTGTCTGTCCTCCGTCCGTCGGGGGTGAGTGTGCTCTTGGCACGGACGTCCTTGAGGACAGACAGGAGGAGTTCCAGTGCTTTGCTGCTGCTTTACCCCACCTCGTGTCCATGCTAGTTGCCCCTGAGGGAGACCCGGATGCACCAGACATCCCGACCCCGCGCACTTACGCTGAGGCGATGGCGGGTCCCTACTCCTCTCAGTGGCAGACAGCCATGGACGCAGAGATGGCTTCTTGGAAGTCCACAGGCACCTACGTTGACGAGGTTCCCCCACCTGGGGCGAACATCGTCAGTGGCATGTGGATTTTAAGGGTGAAGCGGCCACCGGGTTCTCCTCCTGTCTTCAAGGCGCGCTACGTGGCTCGAGGCTTCAGTCAGCGAGAGGGAGTTGACTTCTTTCAGACCTTCTCCCCCACCCCGAAGATGACCACTCTTCGGGTGCTGCTGCACATAGCCGCTCAGCGCGACTACGAGCTTCACTCACTTGACTTCAGCACTGCTTTCTTGCAGGGCAGCCTGCACGAGGAGATCTGGCTGCGCCGCCCTCCTGGCTTCACTGGGTCGGTTCCTCCTGGTACCCAGTGGAGGCTTCAGCGGCCGGTCTACGGTCTCCGCCAGGCACCGCGTGAGTGGCACGACACACTGAGGACGACACTTGCGGCTCTTGGGTTCGCTCCCTCTACTGCTGACCCGTCACTGTTTCTACGCACAGACACCTCACTGTTGCCATTCTACATCCTCGTGTACGTCGACGACTTGGTCTTTGCCACTGCTGACACCGCGGCACTCGCCCACGTGAAGTCGGAGCTGCAGAGGAGACACACGTGCATAGACCTAGGTGAACTGACAAGCGGATCACCCGGGACAGAGCACGGCGCACCATCACCTTGACTCAGTCACACATGGTGCAGCAGATCCTTCAGCGCTTCCGCTTCACGTACTCCTCGCCTCAGTCCACTCCTCTGCCTACCGGTCACTCGCTCTCAGCTCTGCCTTCGGATGAGTCCGTAGAGCCGAGTGGCCCGTATCCAGAGCTTGTGGGCTGCCTCATGTACCTGATGACCTGCACTCGACCTGACCTTGCATACCCTCTTAGCATCCTTGCACGCTATGTCGCTCCTGGCCGTCACAGGAAGGAGCACATGGATGCCGCTAAGAGGGTATTGCGCTACTTGTGCAGTACGTCGGGCATGGGGCTAGTGCTTGGAGGGCGAGACCGAGTTGTACTTACTGGACACTCAGACGCTTCTTGGGCGGACGACCAGGCTACTCAGCGGTCGTCTCAGGGTTACACCTTCAGCCTTGGCTCCGGCTCAGTTTCTTGGCGTTCTACACGCTCTTCTTCTGTTCTCAGCTCCAGTTGTGAGGCTGAGATCTACGCCACAGCCATGGCTGCCCAGGAGCTACGCTGGCTGACCTACCTGCTGACCGACTTGGGAGAGCGGCCTCGTTCTCCTCCAGTGCTGTACGTCGACAACCAGGCTGCCATTGCCTTGTGTGAGGAGCACAGACTGGAGCACAGAACGAAGCACATCGCCCTGCAGTACTTCCTTGCTCGAGAGCTGCAGCAGCGTGGTCAGCTTCGTCTGCGTTACGTGGCCACTGAGGCCAACCTTGCTGATGTGTTCACCAAGGCGCTTCAGCCTTGTGACCATCAGCGTTTCTGTACTCTTCTAGGCCTTGTGCCTGCTGGACCTCACTTGCTTACTTCTTGACTCTGCTTGTACTGTGATCTTATATATATGCCTGCATGTTTACTCTTGCTAGGTTGTGATCACTGTATCTCTTGCTATATTATCAACCTGCATGTGAACTGGTCTTGTGACCACTTGCTTGTGCTCGGAATTTGTGTGGTATCCTTGAGATCCACCCTGAGCTTGTTTTGCTTTGCTTTGACTGGTCTTGTGACCCCTTGCTCTCCCCCACTTTGCCTATGGGGGTGTGTCAAACATTATATATGTTGTGTTTGTTTAGGCTACAGTGGGTTAGCCTATAAGGGGTACACAATTCTAGGGTTAGGTACTTGTACTGATTTCACTGCTAGTTCAATCATTCCTGTCTGTTGATTTCGACAGAGACCGCTCAGCAGCAGCCTCAGTACCCTCTTGCGTAGTACCCCCAGGCTCAGCACCCCCAGGCTCCACACGCTCAGGCTCAGCACCCCCAGGCTCCGCACCACCAGGCTCAGCACCCCCAGGCTCCGCACCCTCAGGCTCCTCACGCTCAGGCTCAGCACCCCCAGGCTCCGCATGCTCAGGCTCAGCACCCCCAGGCTCAGCACCCCGAGCAGGACCACCCCCAGTAGGACCTGAGTCACCAGTGACCTCAACAGGCTCAGTCAAGGGAGGGTCTACCTGAGACAGACTTGAAGGAGCAGGACCTTGAGGGGGGAGGGGGACTACCTGGGGAGGACCTGGAGCAAGAATGAGCGGCGGGGGGGGGAGAGGGGCAGTGCGGTAGGGAAAGAGACGGTAAAAGGGGACCGACTCGTCGAAGGTGACGTCCTGAGACGCAAAGACACGGCGCGAGGCGGGGTCGTAGAACTGCCAGCCAGGCGCGTCAGGAGGAAAGCCAAGGAAGACACAGGGAATGGCGCGAGCAGAGAGCTTGTCCGCGATGAAATCGCGGACAAAGGCACGAGCACCCCAGACCCGGAAACGCGACGCATCGCCAACCTCCCCCGTCCAACGTAGTGTGGGCGAAGTCTCCGGCACGGAGACACGGGGCCAGAGGTTGAGCTGATGCGCGACGTACCGGACCGCAAACGGCCACAGAAAATGGGGGGCAGCCACATGGATCATGGAGGTACGAGCGACCTCCATGACTAAGCCAATGCGGCGCTCAGCAACCCCATTCTGCTGCGGAGAGGCCGGAAGCGTGAACGACTGGCGGATGCCGTGCTCCTCACAGAAGGCTCGCAAGGTTGGAGGTCAACTCACCACCTCTGTCAGAGTGAAGACTAAGGACAGGAAAGTTCGACTGGAACCGCTCGCGAAGCTGGAGACGAACAGCGCGGATCCAAGGGATCAGAACAGCAGGGACATCCCCCTTGCTGCGCAAGGGGAAGACCGTGGTGTAACGCGTGTAGTCGTCGACGACCAGCAGGAAGTACCGCTCGCGGCCCTGCCCCTGGACGCGGGCGGGGCCCCACACGTCCAGGTGGAGAGTCTGCAGTGGAGCCTCTGTGGGAGGGAACGAGGAGGAGTGAGGAGCGGCGCGCTGCCGCCCCTCGATGCAAGGAATGCAGGGCAGCGCAGGCGAGGGAGGGAGGGCAGGCAGAGACCTGGGAAGCCCAGAGACCAGGGAGCGAGAGTGCATGCCACGAAGGCGGGGCAGGGAGGGGTGACCAAGGCGGTGGTGCCACAGGAGAGTGTCGTGTGACAGGCAGGGACACTCACATTGGTTAGCTACCTGAGCAGACGCGTACAGCTGAGGAGACAAAGGGGCGTAGCGCGACACAGCGGTGAGGGTGTACAGACTGGACCCAGGCGCACGTGTGAACGTGGCCAGGTGGCGGCCGGTCCGAGAGCACGTGCAGTGCGTCACACGCTGTCCTCCAGGAGTAAAGGTGTCAACCCAGTGATCCTGAAGGACGGCGGTGCTCACCAGGTTCGTAGAGAACGAGGGGATGTGGAGACCTGACAGCTCACCGGACGGGACCGCCGGACACGGAAGCACAGTGGTAGACCGTGCAAGCACTGGGCCCCCAGAGGGGTCAGCCAGTGAGACAGGGACAGGTGCAGGGAGGGGAGTGACTGTGGTACTGTCGCGAAAGAAACAGCGAGAAGCACCAGAGTCAAGTGTAAAGGTGTGCAAGGCCTGAGCCGACGCAGTACCAGGGAGAGCAGACTCACTAGCACCTAGAGCTGCAGCCTCTATACCTGGGTCAGGCGGCATACACAAGTAGCAGTCACCCTCAGCACTAACAGTCAATGCATACATGGCAGCAAGAATCGCATCATAGTCAAGATCAAAGATAGGAACATCATGCCTAAGCAGGTCTGCCCAGTTCAGGAACTCGGTAGCATCAAGGAACTTGGCGCGCCAGGCGTCGCTAAGCCGAGCGAAGCAGCGGTACTCAGTGTGAAAGCCATTGCATGGGCGACCAGCGTGGTTACCTGCGCGGATGATATAGGGGCAGCGACCAGGACCCCCAGACGCCCCACGCTGAGCGTACCAGTCATGAAGCTGCTGAGACGTGGGGGTCTGGCGCTGACGCTGCTGCTGCTGCTGCTACTTCTGCTGCTGCTGCTGCTGCTGCTGCTGCTGCTGCTGCTGCTGTCCCTGGCCACCACTGGAGCCCCCTCCACCGCCTCCACCACCACCACCTCCACCACCGCTCCCTCCTCCCCCACTACCGCCGCTGCCACCTCCACCGCTCCCGGTACCACCGCCATCCCACCCACTACTTCCACCCCCACGACCACCCCCGCCACCTCCGCCTCCACCGCCGCCCCCACCACCGCCTCCTCCACCGCCTCCTGCACTGCCGCCTCCACCACCCCTGCCTCGCTTGCCGCCCCTGGCGCTGCGGCGCTTCCCACTAGGAGCGGAAGCAGCTGCTACCTGCTCAGCGCCAAGGAAATCGACGGCAGCAACAGTAGAGGCGCAGGAAGGAGGGGGCAAGAGGGGAGGGGGAGCACCCCTCAAAGAGGGGAGTGCGTGGAGTGCCACGAGCAGTGCCTACAGCGAGAATGCTCTTTTCTGCTGCTAGGAGCTCCTGCTCGAAGTCGTCGACAGTAAGAGTGGTAGGGTCTTTGGCGAGAAAGTGGTCCCTGACCGAGCTAAGAGTGTCAGGGAGGCGGGTGACGAGGAAGTAGAGGGTAAAAAACATCGGAGGGGGATTCTTGGCGAGGAAATCGGCTGAAAGAGCGGCACGAAAGCGAGCGTCACTAGCGCGAAGGTGAGAGATGAGGTCCTCAGCAGTGGCAAAGGAGGACAGGTCAGGGAACAGGTAGGGCATGATGAGGCGACCTAGGGCTGCAGTGGCAGGGGAAGAGTAGCGCGCAACTACAGCGTCATACAGTGCCTTAGCAGTCTTGTGCTGACTAAAATGCGCGCGCTCAGTGATCGGCAGATGGTTGCGAATAGCGAGGCGCGCAGCAGCATCGCGAGTCTGCCACTGTGAGCGGTCAAGAGCGGCAGCAGTGTCAGCAAGTGCAACGGAAGTGCCAGACGCGTGATCGAACAGTGAAACTCCGTCTTTGGCATCAGTCATAAGAAACAGTTGCAGGTCGTCGAGCCAAGTGTCAGACTCTATCGGGCGACCGTCAGGCTCAAACGCGAGAACATTGAGCGTTGCCATAATCGCATCGCAGGCAAAGGCAGTAGGCAAAGGTAGCAGGCGACGGCAGCAGGCAAAGGCAGCAGGCAAGGGCAGCAGGCAAGGGAGTCTGTGCGCGGGGCTGCAGAGGTAGCACGCAAGCGGCAAGGGCGGCGCACAGAGCAGCCGCGAGCTGCGCGTGGGTTGTCTGGGCGGTGCGCGAGCAGCACAGGCAGCGCGCGGGGCAGCAGCGAGCGGTGCGCAGGCTGCGGAGGCGTGGCGCGAGCAGGTAGGGCGGCGCGCGGGGCAGTAGCGGGCCGCGCACGGGCTTCCGAGGCTCAGGGCGAGCAGCGCAGGCGGCGCGCGGGGTAGCAGCGGGCTGCGCGCAAGCTGCCGAGGCGCGGCGCAAGCAGCTAGGGCGGCGCGCGGGGCAGCAGCAAGCCGCGCGCGAGCTGCCGAGGCGCGGCGCGAGCAGCGAGGGCGACGCGTGGAGCAACAGCGGTCAGCACGCGGGGATTAGGTCTGCGCGCGAAGCAGCAGCAGACAGCAGGCAGACGGCGCGCGCAGCGCAGCACGTCACAGTCACAGTCACAGTCGTGGGGTAGCGGTAGGTGGGCCCGAAAAAAAAAAAAAAGACGGTCCTACGGACCTACTGCTCTGAAACAATGTCTGAAAGTCTAGGCAAGAATGAATGAACTAGCAAAAAGATGGGTACAAATATGAAACCCTAAAGGGGCTATACCCCATATTGGCTACCCCACTACAGCCTACACATATATAGCATATATATAATTTGACAGAGGATATGCAGAGATGAGCGTGAGAGGTGGCAGGCGATGGCTGAAGAGCCTACTCAGATTAGTCAAGGGAATGAACGAAGTGCACCGTTAGTTCGGAGGGGCTGAGCTACTAAAGCGCGGTGCGTCGAAAGCCCAGCTGTTATAACGCGAGCTTTAGTCCTGCCAAATCCCTCTGCAGCGGTACCGTGTTATTGCAAATTTAGATGGGTCCATATCGTCCTGGTGTATTGTATGCCCGATGTAGTTCGAGATTTGTTGAAACAATCATTTCTAGAAATTCTCATTTTTGGGTTGCAGAGCAACCTATTGCAATCGACAGGTCCTACTTTTTTTTGTCACGGATTTTTTATTATCCAGAAAAAAATCCTATATAAGCAGGGTCGAATTACATATTTATGGATACTTTATTGGTGACTTATTCTAATATTGTTTTATTCAGTGCCAGTCTACCAGATGCTGAAACGAAAGATGAAATATAATGACCAGACAATCCGATCATTCTATTTCAAGTAAGATTCTGTCGTCATATTCGGCACGAGAAAACGTATTCATCAAAATTGATGAATACGGTATGTTTTACTGCATGGTATTTTGTACTACGGTATACTAAGCGTCAGTCTATACTACCGCTTCCCCAGCCTAGCATGGGGGGGAAGTCGATAATATAAACATTGGATAAGCGACTATGACAGAGCAACACAATCTGCACACCCCAAAGAGAAATCTACACCGATCAAGTCCAGCTGAAAATGGCTTCACTGTCATAGTGGTACACCACTCAACCTTTTGTGACGATGATCGGTAAGATATCTCTTTGAAACATGCAGACTGCATTACTATTGCAACAATTAGCAGCATAATAGAAACGGAAATGAAACGAAACTTCAACAAACTCAGAATTAAAATAAATCAAGCAATCGCACTAAGTTGTACGAGACATTTCCTTCCATCCCACATGAGAACCAGTATCTGCAAATCTGCGATAACAAAAATACAATCATGGAATGCAAGAAAATGGAGAAAATATAAAGAACTCAATTTAGGGGGAACAAAACTGAAATAACCAAGAGAATGGCCGTAAAAACGTATTGAAACTTCAAGACACAGAAAATCAGAAGAAATTAGCTCCCGAACCAAAGAGGATAGTGAATAAAACTTGCAGGGGAAAGAGACAGTGAGTGTTATTCAAAATAATAGAGAATGACACAATATTAATACTAGTGAGCAGAAAACTAGAATGTGGAAAGTGAAAACTACATGAAGATGATTGAAGTTTTTTTAATATTAATCCAGAGATACAAGTGCACATCGGATGAGCCAATGCTAGAAAAGTGATATTGAAAAGGAGTGAAACAAGCAAATAAAACGAGAGCGTAGGGTGCCTAAACAAGGAAAGGAAGGAAAGAACACCGAACCTAGGATCTGATCGTTTAAAAAACGTAACAAAATGGTAATGCGGAATACAAAACAGAGGAGAAAATATCAATGATAACAATAGAAAGCAATTGGGTGGAACAGAAACACGGAAAAGTGCATGGATAAAGAACAAAGAAGGATTGATGAAAGAATCGATTGAACTAAGAAGAAATCAAAGAGCAAGTAAGAAAGAACCAGAATATGAAAAAGAAATATAGAAGTCGAAAGAAAAGGGAAATGGGAAGAGGTGGAAAGAAGTAGAGAGGAGAGAACAAAGTTGCTGTACATAACTCATGAAGATTGGTAAGAAGATTGAAAAAAATAACGGAATAGAACGAAGGACGGTTAACGTAGGAAAACACTAACTTCGTGAGGGCTTTACCTAGTTGACATGAAGTAGCACGGATGATAGGAGGATGGAAAACAGAAAGGATGGAAGAGCGAACAAACTAGCGGAGGAAAATGGAAAACGAGTAGAATATAAGAAAAACCACAAAAAAACAAACTATCACGGTTATAAGGGCATTCGTGAGTAGAGGTAAGCAGAAGGTGTGCACAAGAATACCTCGCAGGTAATGGTTCCCCACGGAAACAGCCGCTTATGGCGGCGGGGGGGCAAAGGTGCGCGGGGATAGGGAAGAAAGCTTACTACTAATTAACTCCAATAAGAAAAGAGGTAGTCGCTCACCGACAGAGAGATAGCAAGAGTTGTGGGAGTGATTGGCAGTAAGGCAGTCGTAAGTGCTAAGACCAGGAAGACGCACGGCCAGGAACAAGCACGACCAGGAAGAAAAAGAATTTTCGAAACCCTAGCCAGGCCAACAATTCGACAACAAGTTAATATAATATTATGTTTATTGTTAAATCCCGTGCTTTGTAGCGCAATGGTTTCGATGGAGTCGGTAGTTTGAAAGGGTGGGAGATCGATTCTCTTCGGAGTTGCAATTTTGTTTCTACTGACAAAATGCCAGCTCCGTTACTGTTCGAAGTACACTTAACCCATCAATGTTGAATGATATGATAAAACACAAAACTAATAGCACTGTGGGATTAACTAAATGTGAAACTTTTCTCTTCAGCCTTTTTCCTCATTCTTTGGTATCAAAATGCGAAGAGCTAAACAACTTCCCATATTTTTTTCAATTAAAAAAAAGAACAATTCCAAAAAAACATTAATGCAACATAGATATACATAAGAATATTAATTCAAAATATGCATCGATCAAGAAGCTCCGCAACCCTAAGACGATTTCGTCGCCTCTTGTTTTTTTTTCAATTTCGGTGAATCTCTGACTTTCTCGAATCACAGTCGCGTACAACGCGGCCGCCATCGCGAGCCAGGAAAATCGTTTTCCGTCACCCTCCAAGGCAAAGCGCTGACGGAGCGCGCTCGCGAGAAGTGGTAGCACTTACTAACGACGCGAGGCTAAAGCTCACGCCTTTCCTAGCAAGGGTTCCGAGCGAAAAGCACTAGATTGCTAGCAACAACAGTTTTGAGCAAATAACTGGCTAATTACACGCGGTTTAATGCTGTAGAGCAACCACGCACCAGCCGCACCAGCCACGAGGTCGCCGCAACTACGCATTTCACCTGCCCTTCCGCGCTAGTCTGCCCTTGGATTGCCTCGCCACCACCACGCCGCATTCCCGCCCCTCCGCTTCTCCCCATCTCCGCGTTTCCGTATCTCCGCCGCGCTTCACCTGCCCTTCCGCGCGTGTCTGTTGGGTCGGCGCTTGAATTGCCGTAAGATCGCGGCCTCTCGTCGCTTCCGGCCCTCCGCGCGCCCGCCCGCAGCAAGGGGATAGGCGGAGAGAGCGCAGGGGGAGCCGAGATGCGCGGTGCGGCAGGATGCGCGGCAGGCGCCTGCGTGTTCGACTCGCTGCGGGGGAAGCGGGAGGGGGAAGAGGCGCTGCTGGGGATCTTGGAGAGCCTCCTCGCCTTCACCAGGTATTGTCACGCTCGTTATAGGCACATTCGGTACCTATACTCGCTAGAGTCACACTATCTACAGGCACATACATTTCACTTCGCTGCCATAGAAATCCGCGCCGTTGCGGACGTAGGAGCGGCACATTGCTTTCACCAAGTGATTCGTTACAGCCACAACAGCATTAACAACTTCGCCAATTCCCCAATTCGTCGATTCGCCGATTCGCCAATTCCCCAATTTGCCAATTTGCCAATTCGCCAATTCGCCGATTCGCCGATTTGCCGATTCCACAAGTCGCCAATTCGCCAATTTGCCAATCTGCCAATTTGCCCATGATGACCGATCGCTCTCCTGCTCCCACCCAGCCTGCTACCTTACTCCCAACTATCACTCCTCCCACCATCTAACGCCCGTGGGCTAGTGTTGAAGGCATTCCGCTGCGCCAAATAACACCCTCGTTTTGACCCAGTGGGTAGCGAGGTGTTATACACCATGTTAAAAGTCCCTTCAATGCATTGGATGCGAGGGCATTCATGCACTGTTCCACAGTCCAATGCCACCTAGCACGCTGCCCACTCCTTGTAACCCCACCCCACTCTACACCATTTCCTTCTGCTGCCCCCGTTCAGATTCTTTTCTTCCACGTGCGTCAAGGCATGCCAAGCCAAGCCCACGCGAGCGCACTTCCACTGCCACCCAGTGCGCTGCATACTCCTTTTAACCGCTCCTACTCTACCCTACACCACTCCCTTTGCTGCCCCCTTCCAGAGCCTGCCCCTCTCGCGTCAAGGCATGCCAAGCCAGGCAAGCGCACTTCCACTGCCACGTGGTGCTGCTGCTGCTTTTAACCGCTCCTACTCTACCCTACACCACTCCCTTTGCTGCCCCCTTCCAGAGCCTGTCCCTCTCGCGTCAAGGCATGCCAAGCCAGGCGAGCGCACTTCCACTGCCACGTGGTGGCGGTGGTGCTGCTGCTTGCCTGCTTCTCTTGCATCGGCACCATCCCACATGGGGTGACGGCCCTGGAGCACAGCAGAAGCCTGAGAGGTACGAGTCGCTGCTGCTATGTGTGATCCCATGCCCATAAGGTACAAGCTTGCTTGCTGGTAACCACCTGCTTGCTGCTGGTAACCACCTGCTTGCTGCTGGTAGCTACCTGCTTCCTGCTGGTAACAACCTGCTTGCTGCTGGTAGCTACCTGCTTCCTGCCGGTAACAACCTGCTTGCTGCTGGTAACCACCTGCTTGCTGCTGGTAACCACCTGCTTGCTGCTGGTAACCACCTGCTTCCTGCTGGTAACCACCAGCTGCTGGGATATGCAATCTGATGTCTGTGGGGCACAAGGCATACAGAGTCACATGGTACAGGTGCTGGTAACCGGCCTCTTTAGATCGCCTGCCGCTGCTTGGACACCTTTTTAGCACCTGTTAAATCACCTGTTACAACTACCTTTCTCTCTGCTGTGCCCATCCCTTCGCTTCCATTGCAGACTGTGCGGACATCTTGGCAGCAGGAGCGGCTCTCACGCCCACCCCACCCTCATCCCACCCTCACACCACCCTCACACCTCTCTCACACCACCCTCACACCACCCTCACTTCACACCCCACCCCCCCCAACCCCTCCCCCCCCCCCCTCCCCCCCCCCATCTTGGCAGCAGGAGTGGCTCTCACGCCCACCCCACCCTCATCCCACCCGCGCACTCCCCTCACCCCGCCCCCACCTCGCCCTCCACCCCCCTCCTTCGCCCCACACTGGCCCGCTTCTCCTCCCCTGCAGACTGTGCGGACATCTTTGCAGCAGGAGTCGCTCTGCCATCATCAATTGACCCAGAAAACGCCCCCACCCTCACCTCCACCCTCACCTCCACCCTCACCTCCACCCTCACCTCCACCCTCACCTCCACCACTTCCACCGCTCCCACCACCACCGTCGCCGCCACCCCCTCCCGCACCACTGGTGGTGGAAATGGGGCCAAGGTGAGGCCAGCCCGTAGCTTACGGAGCGAGGCACTCGCCTCCCGTCATTCCTCCCCCCACTCCTCCCCCCACGCCTCCCCTCGCTCCTCCCCCCACGGCTCCTCTAACGCCTCCCCCCACGCCGCACGGTACAAGCGAGAGGCGGGCAAGTGCTGGAGCCGGGCAGAGCTGCCGTGCTATGTGGACACCGCGGGGAGCACGGGAGGTGATATGTCGGAGAGACTTGAGATGAAAATGCGCCAGTACCACACGTACCGGCGCGAGTGCCTTCTGAAAGAGCCCAAGGAGACACTCCGAGCGACCCTCCTCTCTAACAAGCCCACGCTCTGCCGCTATTTGGTGTACTACCACACGCGGGACGGGCAGGGGAACAGACTCGTCTCGCTCATCTCTGCTTTTGCTTATGCGCTCCTGACGGACCGAATTCTCCTGCTTGCATCTGGTAGCGGCCTGGCTGAAGAATACTGCGAGCCGTTTGAGCACGAGGCATCGGTTGAGGCTAGTCAAGGGGCCTCACAAGAGGTCGAGGCCAGTCAAAAGGCGGATGAAGGAGCGTCGTGGGTGCTGTTTGATGGGCCGGAGAGGGAGAAGTATGTGTGGATGCTACGGTTCAAAGTGGCTAAGGAGTGGAGGAGCGTGCGTGAGGAGGAGGAGAGCGGTTTGATGGCACCACCAGTGTATGTGTGCCATATGCTATGCTATTCTATGCTGTGCCGTGACGTGCCATGCAACTGATATCTCCTTCCCATTTTGCCAGCATTCCTTTTCCGAAATGTCCCTACCCCCCTCTTCCCCTTACCTTTCTTCATCACCCTCCCTTCCCTTCCCTCCTAGGTTTCCCTCTTGTCCTTCCTCTTTCCATTCCCGCTTTCCGCTTTCCTGTCCTTGTCCCTTCCCTCCTCCCCTCCCCCTGCAGCCTACGGGTCGACATCGTCCATTTCACCAAGCCATCCGGTCACCTCTTCTTTTGTGAATCCGAGCAGCAATGGCTCTCCCGCACCCCCACCCTCCTAATCTACTCCAACCAGTACCACCTCCCCGCCCTCTACCTCATCCCTTCCTTCCGCCGCCGCCTCCTCCTCCTCTTCCCCTCTCATCACCCCTTCCGTTCTCTCTCCCGCCTCCTCCTCTTCCCCCGCAACCGCATCTGGGCACAAATCACCCGCCGCTTCCACTCCCTCATTGCCCCCGCCTCTGCTCGAATAGGCCTGCAGGGGCGGTTTCAGAAGCAGGCGTTGGAGAGGGGGATTCCCTGGGAGACCAAGGCTATGGGGCGGTGCTTGTTAGAAGCACTCAACTCCTCCTCTGTGCGCCAGGCACAGGAGGTACGGCTATCAAAACGGGGTGGTGCAAGTGGTGATGGTAGCAGCGGCAATGGTGGTCCTGGGTGCAGTGCGGTTGGGAACGATTCTCCGAGCGGTGTGACCGAGGTGATGGTGGCATCGCTCAGTCCTGTGCTAGCACACAACCTGTCTGTGATTGTAGCAGAAAACGTGCCAGGAGTAAGCGTGACTGTAGGGAGCGACACCCCTTGTGCTGCCACTGCAGAACTTGCACTTCCTCCCAGAAATGGTGCCAAGAACTTGGCGAATTCCCATGTGCACATTGCTCGACTGACCGTCGACGAGTCAGAGAACAACACCGACACCGGCCTGGTCGACCGCGCTATTCTCGACATTTACACGCTTGCGCTCTTCTCTGACGCCCTTGTAATATCTCGCAACTCCACCTTTGGCTACGTCAGCGCGTCTCTCTTCGGGGTTCCCTATGTTTCATTTGTGGGCCCCACGTGTTTCAGAGCGACGATTGAGCCATGCTTGCACTTCCCCCCTAGTAATGACCGGTGCCCGGATGGGGTTCCCCAGCAGCTACAACTGCTGCTGGCTGTAGCTCCCGATGTGCCGCTCATGCCGTGTGCAGATAGGCCCACTGGGATTGCCGTCCGCCCGTTGGAGATGTGATGGGCTGATAAGCATTGTTTAATTTACATGCTTTTACTTTTATTCTTACTGACGTTTGTGCTGGTGATGGTGTAGAGTGCACGACGTGCAGTCAAAAGGGTTCCTTCCTACCTGACTCGACATTGGCAGCCATTCGTTCCATACCTCAATCTCACACGTGCAGGTGAGACGAAGCCTAGCTGTATCGAGGCCTTTCCGTGGTTGGACGCTGTTTTCCACGTCATCCTAAAACCCTGGTAGATGCTCAAAATGTATTGGATGGTGGTGAATTGACCAGGTGTTCGCGCAACGGTTGAAACCCCTTTTGGGTCGTATGCCCGGGGGTACACGTGTGTGTTCAGTTCCGCTCGAGAGTGTAGACGGTTTGATTGAACGAGGGTCAACTTTCCGTCCGTTTCCGAAATTTGTGCGAGGCCAGTTCGCCAATCGTCACTCGCTTCGCCAGCCAGCGAAGGTGTTGTCGAACCGCGTCGAGCAGAGATCATCCAGATTGTCATTCCCGCATCAGGTCAACGAATTCTGTTACTGATCGTTTGTGCGTCGTGAACACCATCCCATTCCATCGGCGACACCTCGGACAGAATCGACGGCCACAAACAGCAAAGCTATCTGTCGCGAAAGCAAAACCAGCGAGCAAAACTGGGGGGTCACGAGGACCACAACTTGCCTGCTCAACTGATTTGTTTCTCCACCCTCCCCCTGCAGCATCCATTCCTCGAGTTTCGCTTGTGCTGCTGCGAGCAGTACAGTAACCAAAGGCACACCCCTGCCTCCTCCCCACCCCCTCTGCTCACCTGGAGAACAATACAGTTCAGTCTCCCGATAGAAACTGGCAGGTCGAAGAATTTTGGAGTGAATCCTTTCATAACACTCTCCTGCAGCTTTCTTTTACCATTTTTTTTCCAGCGTTCCCGCTCATCGTATTCAACAGCTCTCACGTTTCCCTCGTGACACCCTTTTCGCCAACGTACGATCATTCGTGCACGTTACTCGAGTTGCGCGCGTTTGAATTCAACTCCTGACGAACACTTCGCATCGAAACCGCGAAATTCTATACGCGTCGACGTCGCGACGTTCTCCCGCTCCGAAATCGCGAATTTCGCACGCATCGCCCGTCGTTACGCCGCCATGTCAGTCTCTAAGATGGCCGGCTTGTCGCGGTCCCTCCACACCCCACCTCGCTCCCCCGCCGCGTCTTACGTCGCCAATCCCCGCGGCGCATCGTCATCCGCGGCGGCCTCAAGGAGCGTCACGCGGTTCGCGGTGCGTCCTCATCCTCCGGTTCTCGTGTTACCTCTTCAAAACATTCCCTCCGCCGCCTCCCGTCCTCCCGTCTTTTGTAGCGTCCCTCCGCCGCCTAATTATCATCCGCGTCGCCTTTAAGAAGTCACTTTCTTTGCTATTCGTCCATCCCTTAACCTCCTCGCGGTGCGTTCTTCCTCCCTTTCCCTTCTCCCCGCCCCTGCTCCCCCTTCTCTTCTCCCCTCTCCTGCTCCCCTTCCCTTGTCTCCTTCCGGCACTGCCGTTTTCCTTTCCAGCATCCCCCCCATTGAATATCCTTCCAACCTCTTGGTATCACGACATTCGATTATAACATCCTCCTTTTCTCGCTCTCTGCGTTTGTCCTCCCTCCTCCCTCCCTTTCCGCTCGTACAGTCACATTCCGGCACCGTCACACGCCGAAACGCCCTCCCTCGGTTCCCCCTGCTCGCGTCGCCCGCCGTCCCTCATTCCGACACTTACATAAGACTCGGTAGCAGCAGCAGCCGCACAACCATCACCACCAGCACCGTCCACGGCATTCGCGTAGTCAAATTCGTCCCAACCCAAGCATCCCTCGCAGACCCCTCCTCTCACTCTCCGTCGTCCTCCCACTCCCCTCCTCACTCCTCCCATCCACCCCCCACCTCCGCCTCCTCCGCCGCCTCCTCCCCCCGACTTTCCGCTTCCGCCACTAAAGCCGTCGCTACGGGCAGGCAGGCAGACACTGCCACAGAGACGGTTGTCGGGCCGCGTTTCGAGTTCGTGCGATCTCCGCCGTACGATCGGCAGCGGAGGGCGCGCGAGCCGTCGGTGGAGGAGATGCGCGAGGTGCTGCTGGGCGGCGAGGTGGGGCAAGCTTTGGACGGACATGCCGCCCGGGCGGGCCCGAGTCCCGTGGCTGAGCTGGTGAGTGGAGTATTCGTGGGGAGGAGGGGGAGCGGGGGGAAGCGGATGCGAGCAGGGGAGAGTCGGGAAAAGGGGAAGCGGGGGAGGAAGGCAGGGAAAGGGAGGGGGAAAGGTGGATTTACGGGCTCAGGAGGGCTGAGTCCCGTAGCTGAGCTGGTGAGTGGAGTGGTTGCTGGGGTGAGGGGAGCGGGGGAAGGAGAGGGAGAGCACGGGAGAGGGGAGGGGGAGGGGGAGGGGAAGGGAGAGAAGAGAGGAGGGGAGGGGGGAAGGGGAGTGGAAGGGGGAGGGGAAGGGAGAGAAGAGAGGAGGGGAGGGGGGAAGGGGAGTGGAAGGGGGAGGGGAAGGGAGAGGAGGTGAGGGGAAGGGGAGGGGAAGGGAGAGGGGAGGGGAGGAGGAAGGGGAGAGGGATGGGAGGGGGAGGGGGGAGAGGGAAGGGAAGGGAAGGGGAGGGGAGGGGAAGGGGAGGAAAAGGGAGGGGTGGGGAAAGGGAGCAAGAGGAGGGCGATATGGTACGGGAGGCAAGCAAAAGGCGCACAGTGGATTGAGTGGTTCGGGAGGAGCAAGCAATGAAAGGTCGAACTCCTGACAGACACGCGGATTGATTGACACGGGTGTTCTGTGCTGTGGTAGCTTGTACACGTTTTTGTGGAAACTTGTACTCTGCTTCCGTGCGAGATCTCTCTCTGTAGGCCGTTTTCTTATCATTCTCAACCCGAACAAATTGAGACGCTACTTGCTAAATACCCTACTTCCGAGCCATCCAAACATCATGCACTCATGCACACAGCCTCATTTACTCACGTTCTGGCCCCACCTCACTAATCTCTCACTTCCCCTCCACTGCCCACCCCTCTTAACCACCCCGCAACGTCCCTACTCCCTCATCCCCCCCTCTCCCCACCCGACTTCACTTGCCCAAATGATGCATAAATGCCATTGATGCCATTCATCAAATCGCCCGGGCCAACTGTGCGTGCCGCGCCGCCATCCATCCATTCAGTCATACGAGCTCGTGCAAGGCGCACTGGTGAGCAGAGCATTCTATTTTTCTCCCTTTTCCTCTCCTCCTCACTTGCCTCGTCTCCGCCCTTGCCTTGCCTCCTTTCCTTCCCTCTCGCCTGTCGCTCGCCCACCCACCTGTCTCGTTCAACCGTTTCGTAAGAGTGGGTCCCTTCCCTCCACTCCTCCAAGCTCGATTTGATTCAAGCCACTCGAACTTGTCATTCCCCCACTCCCCCCCCCCCACCGTCTCCCTCCCCCGACTGCACACGCTGCCAGCTGCTTCCCCTCCCTCTCCCTCTCCCACTCGATCTCCTTCCTTCCTTCCCCTCCTCCCCCTCCCGTCCTCTCACGTGTGTTGGTCGGAGGAGCACACACGCCGCCGGGCCCCACCCCCCACAGCAGTGTGCCCCATCCCTTCTGTCCTCCCTCTCCCTCCCTCCACCACCTCTCTCTCCCTTTCTTCGCGGCCACCCCATCAGGTGCCAGCCACTGGCCCCCACAGCAGTGCTCATTCATCTGCGGCATTTTGCCCCTCCGCAATGCCCTTAGTTTGTCCCCGTTTCGCCTCCTCTCCCAACCACCCCCTCCTCTCCATACTCCTTCCTTCCGCCCGTCAGGTGCGTCGGTCAGAAGACCGCACACGCCGCCAGCCCCTGCCTCCCACAGCAGTGCTCATCCACGCATGTCATCCTGCCCCTCCCTCCTGTCCACCCTCTCCCGCTGCTCCTCTCCTCTCCCGCACCCTCATGCTCCCCTCTCAGGTGCGGTGGTCAGAAGACCGCACACGCCGCCAGCCCCCGCCCCTCACAGCAGTGCTCATCCATCCACGGCATCACACCCCTCACTTCTGTCCTCCCACTCCCTCTCCCTCTCCCTCTCCCTCTCCTTCCTTCCTCTCCCCCACCTTCGTGCCCCTCCCTCATCAGGTGCGGTGGTCGGAAGACCGCACCCGCCGCCAGGCCCCGCCCCCCACAGCAGTGCTCATTCACGGCATTCTGGGCAGCGGCACGAACTGGGGCTCCTTCGCCCGCCGCCTCGCTACAGAGTTCCCCGCCTGGCAGGTGGGTCTGTTGGGTGTGTGTGGTGTGTGGGGGAGAAGGGGAGGAGGCGTGGCGTTGTCCCCCGCCCTCCACAGCAGTGCTCATCCACGGCATCCTGGGCAGGGGCATGAACTGGGGCTCCTTTGCTCGAAGGCTAGCAACCGAATTTCCCGCCTGGCAGGTGGGTTGGTTGGTTGGTCCGTGTGTGCATGCATTGGGTGGGTTGGTTGGTTGTTTCCCGCCTGAATTACCCGCCTGGCAGGTGAGTCTGTTGGGTGTGTGTGTGGTGTGGGGTAGAAGGGAATGAGGGGCGGCATTGCCACCTCCCCCAACAGCAGTGCTCATCCTGGAAAGCAGCAAAGACTGGGGCTCCCTCCCCCCTGTAACCACCCCGCCACCCCCTTCCTCGGTTTCTGTGTGTGCACCTGCGTTGCCACGGGGCCTCACAGCAGCACCACAACTCCAACCTCTTCCTCTTTCCTTCCTGTCTTTGCTCCCTCCAACCTGTCCTCCCACCCCATTCTCGTTCAGTTTCTCTGTGTGGACCTGCGCTGCCACAGGGCCTCCACAGCAGCATATCTCAACCGTGTCTTCCACTTCCCTTCCCCCTCCCACTCCCCCAAGCTCTCCCCATTCCATTCCCTTCCAGTTCCCGTATGTGGACCTGCAATGCCATGACCCATGGAGCCTCCACAGCAGCATCTCTCAACCGTGTCTTCCCCTTCCCTTCCTGTCTTTGCTCCCTCCACCCTGTAACCACTCGCCATCCCCTCCCTATCCCCCCCAGTTCCTCTGTGTGGACCTGCGTTGCCACGGGGCCTCCACAGCAGCACCACAATTCTAACCCCTCCCTCCCTGTACCCACCCTCCCCCTTCACCCATTTTCCTTCCCCAGTTCCTCTGTGTGGACCTGCGTTGCCACGGGGCCTCCACAGCAGCATCGAGGCACCTGGGACCGCATTCTGTCCAGTCTGCTGCAAAGGACGTGCTGCACCTGGTGAGTACCCGCCTTTAGGTGCTCACCTGTTGCTGTTGCTCTCACTCCTCTCCTGACCCAGCCTGACTGTCCACAGCAGCATCGAGGCACCTGGGACCGCATTCTGTCCAGTCCGCTACTAAAGACGTGCTGCACCTGGTGAGTGGGTGCCTGCTGGTGAGTGGATGCTGCCTGCTGGTGAGTGGATGCTGCCTGCTGGTGAGTGGATGCTGCCTGCTGGTGAGTGGATGCTGCCTGCTGGTGAGTGGATGCTGCCTGCTGGTGAGTGGATGCTGCCTGCTGGTGAGTGGATGCTGCCTGCTGGTGAGTGGATGCTGCCTGCTGGTGAGTGGATGCTGCCTGCTGGTGAGTGGGTGGTGCTGCTGGTGAGTGGGTGTTTGCTGTGTGCTGCTCGTGGTGGGTACTGGTTGTGACTCCACAGCAGCACCCACGCACCTGGCACCGCACTCAGTGCACGAGGGTCACCTATGCATCACGCCCCACCATCTCATTGCTTTCTCCACGCTTCTCCCCTCCCCTCTCTTCCCACTCTCTCCCCTCCCCTCTTCCTTCCTCCCTTCTCCCTCCCCTCCCCCTTCCATCTCCCCTCCCCTCTTCCTTCCTCCCTCCCGTATCCATCTCCCTCTCCTCTACCCCCTCCTCCCCTCTCCTGTCCCCTCTCTCCTCACCCCTCTCCTCTCCCCTCTCCCCCTCCTCCGCGCTCCCTCCCCTCACTCCCCTCCTCACAGATGGGTCGTCTTCGCATCACTCCCCGCATTCTCATCGGCCACAGCTTCGGCGGCAAAGGTACACTCACTTATCTCGAACTGTACCATCCTCTTTATTAGCTCCTCCAGCACCTTTTCTGGAACTGCTATTCGCCCTTATAACCCACCATTCGCACTCAATTCCTTTCCTTCACCTACTAGCCTTTCACACTTCTCTCCCTGCCCGCGCCTACTTTCCCTTCCCCTCTTTCCTTCTGCCACTTTTTTCGCATTCTCTTCTGTTTCCCTATTCTTCTCCACACGCCCCCTCACCTCTCCCTCTCCCCTTCGTCCCGTTAACCCCCCCTCCTCTTTGTCCCTCTCCTCTCCTCTTTTCCTCCTCCCCCCCCAGTTATTACTTTCCCTGCCCCCTCTCTCCTTCTGTCACTCTTTTATCATTGAGCTCATTCCACCCCTCCTCCTCCCCTCCTCTTCTCCCCCACTCATCAAACCAAACAGTGGCTTTAAGCATGATAGACCAAGCAGCCAAGCCCATGTGCTCATTCCACTCATTCCTCCCCTCCCGTTCTCAACCCCCCTCCCCTCCTCCCCTGCTTTCCTCTCCGTTCTTCTCCCCCCTCTCATCGAACCACACAGTGGCTTTAAGCATGATCGACCAAGCAGCAAAGCCCATGCCCAGTGCTATCAAGGTATTTGCACGCGGTCTCCCTCTCTCCTTCTCGCTCCCGTCTCTCCTCCCTTCAAGTGCCAGTGTTAGAACCTGCACGGGGCAAATATTTTTATTGACTCAAATTCGCCTATTCTCTCCTCGTCTCTCCTCCTTTCAAGTGCTGGTGTTAGAACCCGCCCTGACTCGACTATAAAATAGCTTGCTCTTTCCTACGCTCTCCTACTCTCTCCTCCTCTCTCCCCGTCTCTCCTCCTCTCTCCCCGTCTCTCCTCCCTTCAAGTGCCGGCCGGTTTTAAAACCCATTCTGAGCAAAGAGCACTTTTACGTCCCTCCGATCTCTTTTTTCTTACTTGTTGTTCATATCTCCCCCTCACTATCACCATCCCATCCCCCCTTCTCTTTCCCATCCCTCCTTCTCTTTCCCGTCCCCCCTTCTCTTACCCGTCCCCCCTCCAGGTGTGGGCGTTGGATGCCATGCCGGGCAAAGTCAGGGCAGGGGCGATAGGGAGGACCATCCTAGTCCTTAGAGTCGATCTTAAAAGCCCTCTCGATCTCTCTCGCTCCGTTCTCCCTCTCACTATTCTCTCACTCCTGTTCCCCACGCAGGTGTGGGTGTTGGATGCCACACCGGGCAAAGTGAGGGCAGGGGGCGATGGGGAGGACCATCCGGCCGACCTGATTGATGCACTCAGAGGCATGCCGCCGCTGGTGAGTCGTTGTTTCCAGGGGTAGAGGAACCGACCCACGGCATGGTATGGTAAGGGTGGGGCGATGGGGAGGATCACCTCACCGACCTGATTGATGCGCTCACAGGCATGCCGCCGCTGGTGAGTTTTGAGACGTTTCTAGCAGGTGGGTCTCTAGCCGACTAGTCCTCTCGTATAGAGGGCATGGGGTGATGGGGAGGATCACCCAGCCAACTTGATCGATGCACTCAGAGAGGCATGCCGCCGCTGGTGAGTCAAGTCTCTACCTGGTGACTCTTTAGCCCATTAGTCCTCTCGTATAGTGGGCAGGGGGCGATGGGGAGGACCATCCGGCAGACCTGATCGATGCGCTCAGAGGCATGCCGGCGCTGGTGAGTTGACTATCTAGCTGGTGACCCTTTAGCCGAGCTGATTAGTCCTCTCGAGTAGAGACAAGATTCTAGACCGCAAGGAGGTGGTGATTTCCCTCTGCTCGCAGGGCTTCTCCTTCCATTGCGCAGTGGATGACCACCAGCCTCACCAGGAACCACCTGCTCCTGCTCCTGCTCCCCCTTCCACTCCACACTGCTTGTTGCTCAAATTCTGGATCGCAGCGAGGTGGTAAACTCTCTCCTCTTGCAAGGCTTCTCCAAGCCCATCGTGCTCCCTCTGTGCTGCTCCCTCTGTGCTGCTCTCTCTGTGCTGCTCCCTCTGTGCTGCTCCCTCTGTGCTGCTCCCTCTGTGCTGCTCCCTCTGTGCTGCCCCCTCTGTGCTGCTCCCTCTGTGCTGCCCCCTCTGTGCTGCTCCACTCCCACTGTGCCCTCCTGGCAGATCCTAGACCGCAGCGAGGTGGTGAGCTCTCTCCTCTCGCAGGGCTTCTCCAAGCCCATCGCGCAGTGGATGACCACCAACCTCGCCAAGACACACCTGCCTTCCTTTTCCCACTCACCTCCACCCACCCTGTTCCCGTGTTGCTGCCCCTTTCCCCCTTGTGCTGATCTCTCAATACTCCGCTCCCTCAGATTCTGGATCGCAGCGAGGTAGTCAACTCTCTCCTCTCCCAAGGCTTCTCCAAGCCCATCGCGCAGTGGATGACCACCAACCTCTCCAAGACACACCTGCCCCTGCCCTCACTTTCCCACCCACCTCCCCCTACCCTGCTACCCTGCTCCCCCAATACTTGGCAGATTCTGGATCGCAGCGAGGTGGTGAATTCTCTCCTCTCGCAGGGTTTCTCCAAGCCCATCGCGCAGTGGATGACCACCAACCTGTCCAAGGCACACCACCTGCACCTGCCCTCCCTCCTCCACTTACCCTGCTCCCCTGCCCCCCCCCATACTGCTCCGCTCTCCTCAGATCCTAGACCGCAGCGAGGTGGTAAACTCTCTCCTCTCGCAGGGATTCTCCAAGCCCATCGCGCAGTGGATGACCACCAACCTCACCAGGACGCACCTGCCCTCGCTAGACCTGCTTCAGGACCTGCCTCCTTCACAGCAGCAGCTGCATGAGGAGGCTGCCAGGGTGGCTAGTAGGGGACAGGCGGCGTATGGGTGGGCGTTTGACCTGGACGGGATTGCTCAGATGTACTCCTCGTATGAGACCACGAATCTCTGGTAAGCTGAGCGTGGTACATTGCGTTGTGGTGTGGTGCATCGTGGGGTGGTGTAGCGAGCAGGGGGCATGCGGTGTACGGGTGGGCGTTTGGTCTGGAGGGGATTGCTCAGATGTACTCCTCGTATGAGACCACCAACCTGTGGTGAGTTTGAGAGAGGATGTGAGGTGCAGTGCGGTGTGGTGTGGTGAGGTGCAGTGGGGTGCGGTGTGCGGTGTGGTGTGGTGTGGTTCAGTGCTGTGTGGTGTGGTGCGGTGTGGTGTGGTGTGGTGTGGTGAAATGTGGTGCGGTGTGGCAGTACGGCACGAGCGGCGGAATGCATTGTGAGGTATCAAGGCCAGTTTGCCGCTCCCTTTCGGTGCATCAATCAACTGTTACCAATCTACCATCCCACCCTCCCTGCTCTTTTTTCCTCCCCCAGGCATCTAGTGGAGGACGTGCCAGAGGGGGTGCATATCAACTTCCTGCGGGCTGAGAGGTGCTAAATGGTGTTGTGCGGTGGCCCGTATCTTCCCTCCCCCACCTTTCCCTGGTCCCCAGGCATCTAGTGGAGGACGTGCCAGAGGGGGTGCACATCAACTTCCTGCTAGCAGGGCGCTCACTGCACCAGTGCTGTGCTGTGACTGTCTCGTATATACCCCTCCTTCCCATCTTCTCCCTGCTTCCCCCAGGCATCTAGTGGAGGACGTGCCAGAGGGAGTGCATATCAACTTCCTGCGGGCTGAGAGGTCGCTGCACCGGTGGGCACGGGACGACATTCGGAGGATACTGGGAGCGGAGCAGGAGGCGATGGGGCATGGCGCTGCTGTGCGGATGCACGTGTTGGAAGACGCCGGGCACTGGGTGAGTGCAGTGCGGTTCGGTGTGGTTCCTGGTAATTTAAAGGCGTGTCAGAGGGGTTTCCAGGTGTTCCAGAGGCATTGTTGGTGCGAGCAATGGGGCAGTTGGAGAATAGTGGGTGCGGAGCAGGAGGCGATGGGGCATGGCGCTGCTGTGAGGATGCACGTGCTGGAAGACACAGGACACTGGGTGAGTGCAGTGCGGTGCAGAGGGGTTGTGTGAGAATGCGAGGCACTGGGTGAGTGCAATGCGGTGCAGAGTGGTTGTATGGGTCTGAGAGGCCGTGGGCGCAGAGCAGGAGGCGATGGGGCATGGCGCTGCTGGAGGATGCACGTGTTGGAAGACGCCGGGCACTGGGTGAGTGCAGTGCGGTTCAAAGGGGTCTTGAGGCGTGAAGCACGTGGTTGGCATGGGCATTGGGGCATGGAAAAGGGATGCATGCTGGGGTGAGGGACGGTGCTTCTGTGAGGGTGTCCCTCACAGAAGCCCTCACAGGGCATGGACCTGGGACACGAGGGCTTTCAGGCATCCCTTGTTCCAAATCACCATCTGCTCTCATTCTTCTGTATCGCGCTATCCCCATTCCGCAGGTCCACACCAACAACCCAGATGGCCTCTTCCAGATCCTCGCACCTTCCTTCGGTTGGGCTCCTCATGCTGTGTGACTGCAAGTCCTTGCATGCCTGTCAAACAATTTCTTTCAAATCCCCATCCCCAACCCGCAGGTCCACACCGACAACCCTGACGGGCTCTTCCAGATCCTCGCGCCTTCCTTCGGCCCCTCACGCTGCGTGACGGCAAATCCTTGCGCCTCCCTTCCTTACTATTTCAATATCGCATTATCCCCAACCCGCAGGTCCACACCGACAACCCTGATGGGCTCTTTCAAATCCTCGCGCCTTCTTTCGGCCCCTCACGCTTCAGAGACCATTAGGCCGGTCTACAGTGCTGCGTTTTTCTATGCATTTTTCTACGCCCGCGTTAGGGACCATTAGGCCAGGCGGGCCTGGACTTGTTTTCTCTTCAATCGTTAGTTAATTTGGGCTGGGGTACTATGTCTTAAAGGCAGCTATATTCTGGTGCCTCTCTAAGTAGTTCCTCAGCACAGCACCTTGGTTCCCCCTCGCTTCGTAGAGCATTACTTCGGGTTTTATGGAATCGGAACCAAAGGTGGGTCACAGAACGAGGAACGGGATTGGTGCTTCCCGTACTTGGTGGAAGAAAATAGCAGAACAGTTGGAGGTAGAGCGTTCGTGAAGTTGGTTGGTGGCTTGTTAATAATTAGATGATTTTGCTTGTTCATTTAGCTTTTGTTAGTGAATCTCTGGTTTGATAAACCTGAATTGTGTACACCTTTTTTTTTTCCGGGATTGGTGTGTGACAATTTGATAAAAAGTTAGCCATTCCAGCACAAAGAAGCTAGATCAGCATATTTGTCAAGCAAATAAAAGTCATTGCGATCGAATTTTCCTCCTATCGAGTATGATTTACGCTGAACCTGACATACATCGAGGCGGCACGTGACTGGCACTCCCAAGTTTGCCGCCATTACCGTTCGCCTGCACACTCGCTCTGCTGTCAGTAAAATCACTTAGATGCATCGACGGTTTTCACGGGGACTCCTCACACCACCGACGATCTCAGCCGTTCATCGTCAGCGCGCGCTCCCTTAGTGGCTGTCCGCGCCGCGTCTTTTGGCTTTGTTCCTCATCGAAATTCATCGGAAACTCAATCTGTTTATTTTTAGAATTCTCAAAAGGCAGAGTCGAAATTCAATGAAGATTTAGAAGTTTGCCGAAGAAGGTACTGTTCTGAGTGGAGTCCGTGGGAATCCCGTTCCGTCACTCCGAGCCGAGCCGAGCCGTGCCCAAGCCGGACCGGACCGAACCGAGCCGCGACGCGCTAGTGGCCGGCCAGCCGCGGGAATGGACGTGTCGGACCCAATCGTTCCGCACCCTGCCGCCGACCGCGGCGACGGCAGCGACGGCGGCGGCTTCGGAGACGGCGGCGGCGAAGGCGTTTATCATGCTTCTCCCGCGGGCCGCCAACGGCCACGTGGCTGCAGCGCGGAGAGGTGGGTCGCCGCGATTGCCGCGTTTGCCGCTGCGCTGATGGCGTGAGGGATGGATCCGGCTCTCGAGTCGCCTCAAAAGCCACCTCGCCGTTGGCGCGAGCGAAGGTCCCGGTTTAGGACTTTTGAATCTTTAAGAATTCTCAGAAGTAACACTTCTGAATTCTCCTCCGGAAGTATCCCCCGTTCTCCCAGTCTCTTACTTTCCCTTCTGCGCTATCAACTTGGTGAAGTTCATTAACGAGGGGGGGACAGCAACAAGACGAGAATCATTGTCACTGCTCCTCTCAACCCCCTTTCCCCCATTTTCCCCCATTCAGCCTCTTGCTTCTCTTCTGCGCCATCACCATGGTCAACTACATTGACCGGGGGGCACGATAATCATTAGTATTGCCGATCTCAACTTCCCCCCCCCCTCCCTCTCCCCCTCCCCCCCTCTCCCCCTCCCCCCTGCCCCACTTTAGCCTGCTGCTTCTCTTCTGCACCATCAACATGGTGAACTATATCGACCGGGGCGCCATCGCCAGCACGAGGGGTTGAAGACACTCGCTCTTTTGACTCCCATCCCCCCTAATCCCCCCATCACCTTTCAGCCTGCTGCTTCTCTTCTGCGCCATCAGCATGGTGAATTACATCGACCGGGGCGCCATTGCCAGCAACATGAGGGTCAAGTATACCATTCCCATCCTGCCTTCTCCTCCCTTCCCTTCTTCTCCTCTCCCATTTTCCCAGCCTCTTACTGCTCTTCTGCACCATCAACATGGTGAATTACATCGACCGGGGTGCCATCGCCAGCAACAAGAGAATCGTTAGCACTCTCGCCCTCCACTTCCATCCCCCTCTCTTCCACCATTCATCCTCCTTCTCTTCTGCGCCATCAACATGGTGAATTACATCGACCGGGGGGCCATCGCCAGCAACATGAGGGTCAAGTATACCATTCCCATCCTCCCTTGTCCTCCCGTCCCTTCCCCTCCCCCATCACCCCAGCCTCTTACTACTCTTCTGCGCCATCAATATGGTCAATTACATCGACCGAGGGGCCATAGCCAGTAACGGAATCAACGGCTCTCCCTCGCACTGCCAGGGGGACATCTGCGACTCAGGCAGCGGCATTCAGTGAGTGGTGGGGGCCGTTGTTGAGTGGTAGCGGCAATATGTGGGTAGTGTTGTGTTTCTGCTTGTTTGCACTGTGGCTATTAGTATTCGCTCTCTATCACATTGCCAGGGGGGCATCTGTGATGCTGGCAGAGGCATTCAGTGAGTGGTGGGGGCAGTTAATGTGGTGAGTAGGCTTACAGTGGTGTTTAGGCTTACAGTGCGGTTGGGTAACTGCACTGTGGGTCTCAATGTTGCTTTCTGGCTCTCCATCGCACTGCCAGGAGGACATCTGTGATGCTGGGAGTGGCATTCAGTGAGTTTTGGGGGCAGGTGGTGTGTGGTGTTCAGTGTTCTTGCATGATTGCACTGCGGTTCTTATTAGTTGCTCTCCTTTTTGCGCTGCCAGGGGGGCATCTGTGACGCTGGCAGCGCCATTAAGTGAGTGGCTGGTCTGGTGGGGACAGCTGCTGTGTGGTGTGATGTTCAGTGTCTCTTCATTCACGAAAAGACACGTGTGGTGTGAGGTCCCGAGCTTCGGTGTCGCACTGCCTAGGGGAGGGGGGTGAATCTGTAACGCTAGCTGCGGGAGGGAGTCAGTGAATGGTAGGGGTCTCGTCACCCCCTCCAACTTTTAGGACAGGCTACTAGCAACGGCCTTCCTGGTCGGCTGAGCTGTGTGTGACCTGCCAATCGAGTTTTCAACTTATACCGACCACACTGAACCCCTCTCAACCGCCCAATCCAGGGGCGATTTTGCTCTCTCCAACTTCCAGGACGAGCTTCTAGCAACGGCCTTCCTAGCGGGTCTCCTTACGGCCTCACCACACTCTGTCTAACCTAGTCCTATCACACCCGCCCAACTCCCCTTCCCACCCGTCAGAGCTGATTTCGCTCTCACCAATTTCCAGGACGGGCTACTAGCCACGGCCTTCCTAGTGGGGTTTGTGTGACCTACCAATCTAGTGTTTAACTTATTCCAACCACATCCAACCCCTCTGAACCCCTCCGAACCAGGGGCGACTTTGCTCTCTCCAACTTCCAGGACGGGCTGCTAGCCACGGCCTTCCTAGCAGGTCTCCTCACCGCCTCGCCGCTCTTCGCCCATGCCTCCAAGCGCCACAACCCCTTCCGCCTAATCGCTCTCGGCCTCCTCGTCTGGACGCTTGCAGTGGCCGGCTGCGGGCTATCTCCTGGCCTACTCTCCCTGCTGCTCTGCCGCATGTGAGCACTCCTTTCCCCGTTTCTTCCTCATCTTCTTCCTCCTCTCCTCCTCGCCGTCTCCTCACCGCCTCGCCTCTCTTCGCACATGCCTCCAAGCGCCACAACCCCTTCCGCCTCATTGCGCTCGGCCTGCTCGTCTGGACTCTCGCTGTGGCTGGCTGTGGCATCTCCCCCGGCCTGCTCTCCCTCCTATTCTGCCGCATGTAAGCACCCTCCTCCTGTCCCTTTCTCTGCTTGTAAGCACCCCTGTCTGAACGCTCGCAGTGGCGGGCTGTGGGCTGTCTCCCGGTCTTCTGTCTCTCCTCCTCTGCCGCATGTAAGCGCTCTCCTCCCTTCCTGTCCCTCTCTTCCCCCATGCTTCCAAGCGCCACAACCCCTTCCGCCTCATTGCCCTTGGCCTTCTCGTCTGGACGCGTGTCTGCCAGGAATGGTGGGCCATGGCTGTCTCCCGCCCTGCTCTGCCCACCCTGCCCTGCTCGCTCTCCTCTTCTGCTGCATGTGGGCATGCCTCCCCCCGTCGGTCCACTAACTCTCTGTGGCAGGGTGCAGCCTTCCCCCCAGCCTGCTCGTGCTCCTCTTTTGCCGCATGTGGTGAGCATGCACGCTCCCCCCCTTCTCCCCTCCCCTCCCCTGCTGTCTCTTTTGTTACACTTTGGATCACAACATATGTGTACTATAACTTAGATTATGCAGGTTAGTAATTTGTAGGCGGGGTCAAGAAATCTGCCAGGTCATTACTGGAGATTTGGTTGGTTGGATCCTCGTTTGTACTTGACGCGAAACGCCTTCTCTCTTCAGCTCTTTTTCTTCGCCTGATGTACAAACTGCTATCAAGTCAAAAGAGGAGCATGCATGCTCACCTGGCATGTGCAAAGGGCACACCTGGAATGCATGTATCCTCTTTTTTTTCTTCTCTCACACCGTTTCCTCCTCTCCTGCACTCTCTCTCGCTCCCGCACCGCACTGTCTATCCCTATCCCGCTCCACCTTCTACCTTTGCATCACGGTCGACCTCGTCTCACATCTGTCTTCTCCTTTTCCTGTTCCATTCTCCTCCCCCACACACAACACCAGGCTAGTGGGGGTGGGGGAGGCGTCCTTCATCAGCCTAGCAGCCGCCCTTCATAGACGGCAACGCCCCACCGGGTGTGCCCTTTCCACCCCATGCCCGTTGCCCTCCCTACACACAACAGGCTAGTGGGGGTGGGAGAAGCGTCTTATCTCAGCCTAGACGCGCCCTTCGTAGACGACAACGCGCCACCCAATGTGCCCTTTTGCACGCCGTGCCTTGTTCCTTCCTTCTACCTCTATGTCTCTGTTGGCTTTGTCTGAGTCTTACCTTCCCCTCTTGCTTCTCCCTCCACGACACCTCAGGCTCATAGGTGTGGGAGAGGCCTCCTTCATCAGTCTAGCAGCGCCCTTCATAGACGACAACGCCCCTCCGGGCAAGACAGTCCAGTGGCTTGCCACCTTCTACCTCTGCATCCCGGTCGGCTTTGCCTCACATATGTCGTCTCTTTTCCTTTCCCTTTCTCCTTCACCCTATCCAATCCAGGTTAGTGGGAGTGGGAGAAGCTTCTTTTATCAGTCTAGCAGCGCCCTTCATAGACGACAACGCCCCACCGGGCAAGACAGCTCAGTGGCTCGCCACATTCTACCTCTGCATCCCCGTCGGCTTTGCTCTGGGCTACCTCTACGGGGGGGTGGCTGGCCCGCTGCTCGGATGGAGGGGAGCGTTTCTGCTAGAGGCTGCTTTCATGCTGCCTTTTGTGGTTTACACCGCCACTGCTGTCCCTCCACCCCTCAAAGGTAATCCCTTTCGCGGCTTCGGCTTCCCTTTCTCTTGCTCCCTCTCGCCTCCCTCCTCACAACCCCACCTTCTATCTCTGCATCCCGGTCGACTTTGCCCTCGGCTACCTCTACGGGGGGGCGGCTGGCCCGCTGTTGGGATGGAGAGGCGCATTCCTGCTCGAGGCTGCTTTCATGCTGCCATTCGTTGTGTACACCGCCACTGCCGCCCCTCCGCCCCTCAAAGGTAACCTCTCGCCTCGCTCTTCACTGCCCCACCTTCTACCTCTGCATCCCTGTCGGCTTTGCCCTCGGCTACCTCTATGGGGGGGTGGCTGGCCCGCTGCTGGGGTGGAGGGGAGCGTTCTTATTGGAAGCTCTGTTCATTCTGCCGCTTGTGGTCTACACTGCTACTGCTGCCCCTCCTCCCCTCGAAGGTGTGCCTGTCTCCCTCTAGCCTCTCTTGCTCCTCTTTTGCCTCACTCCTCACCGCCCCACCTTCTACCTCTACATCCCCGTCGGCTTTGCCCTCGGTTACCTCTGTGGGGGTGTGCTGGGCCTCTGCTGGGTTGGAGAGGGGCATTCTCGCTGGCGGCACTGTTCATGCTTCCCTTTGTGAGTGATTTTTGATAATTCTCAAAAATAATTCGCTGGAGGCAGTGGTTATGCCTCCCTTTGTCGTCTACACTGCTACAACCACCCCTCCGCCCCTCAAAGGTGATCTCCTGCTCTGCTTCTCTTTCAAACGGCCCTTTGTATGGATGCATGCATGCATCCCAGTCGGATTCGCCCTCGGCTGGCTGGCCCGCTGCTGGGTTGTAGAGGGGCCTTTCTGCTGGAGGCTGTGTCTGCTGTCCTTCCGCCTCTCAAAGGTGACCCGTTGCTCTGCTCTGCTCTGCTTCCCTTGCCCCTTCTTGACACCTCCAACCTCTTCGTCCTTATATCATTAATATGCACCTGTCATCACAAATCTGCCAAGTGTTTATTTCCCGTGCTGTGCTCATGGCAGGCAGGACGCTTGACCATGGTAGTGCTGCTGAGGATGAGGATGACACACCATCACTGGCACAACATGTTGAGGCAACTCATTAGTCTCCAAGTGCTTATTTCCCGTTCTGTGCTCATGGAGGCAGGACGCATGACCATGGTACTGCTGCTGAGGATGATGAGGAATCATTTTGGAGTCAACTTTTGGGTGCTGCTGCTGACTCCCATATTGTCATATTTTGTTCCCCTTGTCATGTTCCTGTATTGTGGCAGGCAGGATGCATGCGCATGGAATGGGTGGTGCTGCTGAGGGTGAGGAGGAGAGGGCAGCGGAGGCACCATCGCTGGCAGCGCCATCACATGTTGAGGCGACTCCATGCCCTCCAAGTGCTTGTTTCCCTACCGGGGCAGGCAGAATGCATTCGCACAGCATGGCTGCTGCTGCTGGCTGACGAGGAGGAGGCAGCGGAAGGGGCGCCATCGCTGGCAGCGTTGTCACTTGTTGAGGCAACTCTGCAATCCAAGCATGGCAATAGGTCTCTGTTTTCCCTCGCCGCATCCCTGTGTCTCGGCAGGCAGGACACATGCCCATGCTACTGCTGCTGCTGATGATGACGAGGAGAGGGCGGAGGGGGCACCATCACTGGCAGTGTCGTCACATGCTGAGGGGACTCCGGAGTTGAAGCATGACGATGGGTATCTGTTTCTCCTTGTCACATTCCTTTATCGTGGCAGGAAGGACGCATGGTACAGCTGCTGCTGCTGAGGATGACGAGGAGAGGGCAGGAGGGGCATCATCATCACGTGCTGAGGCGACTCCGCAATCCAAGCATGCTGATGGGTCTCTGCTGGACGACTCGCTTTCCCTCGCTCGCAATGAGATTTTCACCATCAATGTTCTCGGTACGATGAGTTTTGTACGGTGCAATGCGGTACTGTGCTACATGCCCACCCTGATCCCTGCTGCTCTGCAATCCAAGGATGCCGATCGGTCTCTGTGGGACGACTCGCTTTCCCTCGCTCGCAATGAGAGCAATCAATCAATGTTGTCGGTATGATGGGTATAGTGTAGTGCAGTGCAGTACGGCACAATTTATCTGAGGTGTGCTTGGGTGCTGCATTCCCAACCTGTGATCTCTGCAGTCGAAGCATGGCGAAGGGTCTCTGGTGGATAAATTCACCATCCATGTTCTTGGTAGGACACCATGGGCGCTGTGAGATGCAGTGCGGTACGGCGCGAACATAGGTAGGGGTGTGGTATGCGGTGCAGCGTGAGTATGGTAGGTTGCAGTGCCACTGACTGCGGTACCACTGCTGTGTGCCCAGCCATTGGTCTCTGGACGATCTACTCCCCCTTTTCTATCCCACTAAAATCCCTTTCCATTAAAGTTCTTGGTATGAGTGTTTGGGAGCGTGGGCGTGGGGTGGGGTGAGTGGCGTGGGGGAAACCCACAGTTCGACCTCCCTTATGCTTCCCATTTCCCTTCTCATTTCCTTCCCTTCCCCTTCAGGTTATGCGGCATACACCTTTGTGATCGGAGCATACGCCTACTGGGCGCCCAAGGCGATGACAGACACACCTCAGAATTAGCTTCCCTTTCACTCCCCCCTCCCCCCTCCCAAGCTATGCAGCGTACGCCTGTGTGATCGGCGCCTATGCCTACTGGGCGTCCAAGGCCTTTTCTTCCCTTCAACCCTCCCAGGCTATGCCGCATATACATTTGTGATCGGAGCGTATGCCTACTGGGCGCCCAAGGCGATGAGGGAGGTGTTTCATGAGGAGAGGGCGGATGCACTGTTTGGAGGCAGGCACCCCATCCTCCCTTCTCTCCCTGTCCTTTACTTCCCTTCAACCCCCCCAGGCTATGCGGCCTATACATTCGTGATCGGAGCATACGCCTACTGGGCCCCCAAGGCAATGAGGGAGATCTTCAATGAGGAGAGGGCGGATGCACTGTTTGGAGGCATCACGGTGGTGACGGGCGTGGGAGGCACGCTGTTTGGAGGTCTCATGCTCGACCGCATGGGAGCAACCATCCCCAACGCACTGCTGGTATGTGTCATGTATCATGTATGATGCATGCACGCACCTAGGCTCGGCTCGGCCTATGCACCTATGAGCAGTGAGGTGCATTTTGAGGCGCCTCAAAATGCGCCTATGCACCTATGTCTAAGCACCACTGCAGTCACCTGCGCTGTGTGGAGGCATCACAGTGGCGACAAGCGCGAGGGGCACACTGTTTGGAGGTCTCATGCTCGACTGCATGGGAGCATCAATCCCCAACGCGCTGCTGGTATGTCATGTATCATGTATGCATGCACGCATGCACATAGGCTCGGCTCAGCCTGTGCACCTAGGTCTAAGCACCACTGCAGTCACCTGCACTGGTTGGGGGCATGACGGTGGTGACGGGCGTGGGAGGCACGCTGTTTGGAGGTCTCATGCTCGACCGCATGGGTGCGACCATCCCCAACGCGCTGCTGGTATGTACGCATTTCACATGGATGGAGCACGGATGTGTGCACCTACTTTCAGCATCACCATGGCCACTGACGCTCGTTGGAGGCATCACGGTGGTGACAGGCGTGGGGGGGCTTTCATCCCGTGTTCTGTCTCTTTGTGCTCTTTGTCCGTTTCTCCCCTCCCCCCCAGTGCAATGCCTCTCCCCTCCCATCAGCTGCAATCCCGGGTGACAGTGGTGGGAGCAATTTTCTGCCTCTTCGCCTCCCCTTCCCCACCCGTCGCTCTCTTTGTGCTCTTTGTGTTCCCCTCCCCGTTGCTATGTTTTCTCCCCACCCATCAGCTGCAATCCCGGGTGACAGTGGTGGGAGCCCTTTTCTGCCTCCTCGCCTTCGCCTCGCCACACATACTTCTCTTCGTCCTCTTCATGGCTGTCGGGGAGTTCTTCATCTTTGCCATCCAGGTAGGTACTGTAACATAGTGGTAACCACACAAATGATTAGCACAGCTGGTAACCAGTGAGTTGGTTCTCATCACCTTCGCCTTCGCCTCGCCACACATCCTTCTCTTCGTCCTCTTCATGGCTGTCGGAGAGTTTTTCATCTTCGCCATCCAGGTACACATGGTAACCAGAAAGCTGGTAACCAAGTAGTAAGTGGCAAGGTGAAAACCTCGCCCTCCATCACCCTCCTTGTCCTCTTCATCGCTATCAGGGAGTTATTCATCTTTCCCATCCAGGTACTGCTGCTAACCAGGTGGTAACCAGGTGGTAACCAGTGGTATCCAGGTGGTAATCAGGTGGTAACCAGGTGGTAACCAGGTGATAACCAGGTGGTAACCTAAAATACTGGTAACTGGTGCCATCCCCTCACCCTCCATCGCCCTCCTTGTCCTCTGCATGGCTATCAGGGGGTAATTCATCTTTCCCATCCAGGTAACCAAGTGGTAACCAGGTGGTAACCAGGTGGTAACCAGCAAACCCTCTCCCATCCAGGCAATGTCGGTTGCCTGTAACTGGTAACTGGTTACCAGAAAGTTGGCAACCTGTGAAGGTGGTAACCTAACCTGTGAAGGTGGTAACCTGTGAAGGTGGTAACCTGTGAAGATGGTAACCAGGAACTTGGTAGTGAATGTAACAGTAACCAGCAGGCCAAGACGTACCCCTCTCTTATCCCACCACGCCCCCTCTCTCATCTCTTCAATTGCCCTCTCTCATCATAGTGTCACTGCAGCACGTGCCACCCAGCCTCAGTCCCCATTCTCGCTCCCAACAAGTTGGTGGTCGTGAATGTAACAGTAACCAGCAGGCCAAGACGTACCCCTCTCTTATCCCACCACGCCCCCTCTCTCATCTCCTCAATTGCCCTCTCTCATCATGGTGTCACTGCAGCACGTGCCACCCAGCCTCATTCCCCTTTCTCGTTCGCAATGAGTTGGTGGTGAGTGTAACGGTAACCAGCAGGCAAAGAGGTACCCCCCTCTCTTATCCCACCATGCCCCCTCTCTCAGCTCCCCAGTCGCCCTCTCTCATCCCACTCCCCACCCCCTTTCCTCCCACCTCTACCCACCAGGGTCCAGCCAATATAGTATCACTGCAGTGTGTGCCATCCAACCTCAGAGCCCTTGCAACAGCCGCTGCAACCAACGTCACTCCCCTGCCTCTGTTCTTTCACCCAATCTCCCTCCCTCTCCACCAGGGTCCAGCCAACATAGTGTCACTGCAGTGTGTGCCATCCAACCTCAGAGCCCTCGCAATAGCCGCTGCAACCGTCGTTGCTCACCTGCTGGGTGACGTGCCCTCACCGCCCATCCTCGGCCTCCTTCAGGTGCCTTGCATTTCACTCTCAGGTGCTTCGCCAGGTGTTTCCTCAGGTGCCGGCATCCTCGGCCTCCCCCAGATGACGTGCTCCTTCAGGTGCTCCTTCAGGTGCTTTTTCAGGTGCCCTGCTCTGTGGTTATTTTGAGTTGACTCAAGTGTTTCGTCTCTGTGTTCCACCTTGCCATTTTATGCTGCCTGCTGCCTGCTGCCTGCTGCCTGCTGCCTGCTGCCTGCTGCCTGCTGCCTGCTGCCACTTAATTCTGCCTTTTCTCTCCCTCCTACTCCCCTACCTGCCTCCTCCCAATTCCCCTCTCCCTCCTCCTCTCCTGTCTCCTCCCCGCCCTTCCATTCCCCTCCCTGCCCTCTCCCGTATCTCCTTCTCTCTGCCGTGTCCCCTCCCCACCCTCTGCCATGCATACAGGACATGGTGGGCAACTGGCGCATCAGCATAGGGATATTCACTGCCGTGCTGCTGCCTGTCCTCCCCTACCCGTGTCATCCCTTCCCCGCCATGCCTCCTTCCCGCATTCCACTCCCCTCCCTCCCCACCCTCTGCCATGCGCACAGGACATGGTGGGCAACTGGCGCATCAGCATGGGGATATTCACTGCCGTGCTGCTGCCTGCTGCTGCTCTATGGGCTCACGGTACCTTCGCTCCCCCTCCCGCCACTCCACCTTCTCCCACCCCCCCTTCCCCCCTTCCACCGTCCCCACACTCTGCCCTTCCGTAATTATCCCTGGCCTCGCTTTCCCATGGTCTAGCGCAGCATATCATGCTGGTGAAGAGTGGCCCCTGCATCCACTTTTAGACCACTCTTGGCACATAGCATATCATGTCCTGTGCGCATGGCAGAGGGTGCAAGCGAGCACATGGTCCTGCCCTTCCATTTGGTTGTGCTGTATCGTTTGTTCATCTTGCTAACCTCCCTTCCCGCTCCCCATCATGTGCCTTCCTTTTTTTACCTCTGCAGGTGCAACGCTGGTGGTACCGTGCCTCCTTCTTACAACAACCAGACAGTTCAGCACATCCTCCACTCCAACTCCCCCTCACCCTTTGTCGCTATCCCCCCCTTGCAATCTTCATCTTGATTACCTCCCTTCCCACCCCTTCTACCGCTCAACCTCTCCAGGTGCGATCATGGTGGTCCCTCCCTCCCACCACAACCAGACCCTTAGCCCAATGCCCTCTGATCTCCCTTTCTTTTTCTCCGCAGGTGCAACTCTGGTGGTGCCTCCTTCTCACCACAACCAGACAGTTCAACCCATTCTCCACCCCAACTCCTCCTCTCCCTCCTCCTCCTACACTCATCTCCACAGCACCCCAAATCCCACCACCAATGCCACCACCAGTCCCACTAGCGGTGACATTACCAGTGACGTTGGCAGCAGTATCGGCACCGGTACAAGCATTGACAGCCCAATGATTCAAGCGCGGAAAAGATTGGCGAGTCCTGGCAATGGCAACAGCATCGAGTCCACACCACTGTTTGGTCAATGATAAGATAACCATACAACGTTGTTTGCTAGAATACTGAATGGTATCAAGGAGTTCAACGAGCTCGTTTTGTACATATAAGCATCTCTCTTGCAAAATCCACGTATGGTGTGCATAAAAAAACCAAACACGGTATGGATTTGTGTTTCACACTCACCACGCCACGACACCTCGGCCCTGCTCGACAGGCTAACACTCTGCAACAGGCGAGTGTTAGGCTAGTGTTAAGAGGAGGGCTCTGCGAAATTTCTCAGAGCTAATCGACCGCCCACCCCTATGTCAAATGTTGTAGCCTGTAGTGAGGTTTGTCTTAGGGGGTACAAAACTTAGGGTTAGCTATATGTACCCCAACCAACATCAATGCACCATCCATTCTTCATTCTGACATGGTATCAGAGCGGTTAGGATCCTGTGGGATCCCGTTCCTCCGTTCTCCGTTCGAGCCTCCCGAGCCTGATCCTAGCTCTCATTCGTCCCGGTTCCGTTGTTACCGCGCGTAGTGCCGCGCCTAGCGCCACTCCTAGCGTCGCGTCCTGCCCGCCCTTTCCCCCCTCGTCGCGCCCCTTTCCCCCCGTCGAGTCGCGCCCTTTTCCCCCCGTCGCGTCGCGCTCTTTCCCCCCGTCGCGTCGCGCCCTTTCCCCCCGTCGCGTCGCGCCCTTTCCCCCCGTCCCGTCGCCCTGCCCCGTCCCGTCCCGTCTCCCCGTCCCGTCGCCCTGTCCCGTCTCCCCGTCACGTCTCCCCGTCCCGTCGCCCTGCCCCGTCCCGTCCAGTCTCCCCGTCCCGTCGCCCTGTCCCGTCTCCCCGTCCCGTCTCCCCGTCCCGTCGCCCTGCCCCGTCCCGTCTCGTCTCCCCGTCCCGTCGCCCTGTCCCGTCTCCCCGTCCCGTCTCCCCGTCCCGTCGCCCTGCCCCGTCCCGTCCCGTCTCCCCGTCCCGTCGCCCTGTCCCGTCTCCCCGTCCCGTCTCCCCGTCCCGTCGCCCTGCCCCGTCCCGTCCCGTCTCCTCGTCGCGTCGCCCTGCCCCGTCCCGTCGCCCTGCCCCGTCCCGTCGCCCTTCCCCGTCCCGTCGCCCTGCCCCGTCGCGTCGCCCTGCCCCGTCGCGTCGCCCTTCCCCGTCCCGTCGCCTCTGCTCCGTCGCGTCGCCCTGCCCCGTCGCATCGCGCCCGCCCTTTCCCCCGGCCCGTCGCCCTAGCCCGTTCTTCCGCTGCGGCTAAGTCCCCCCCACCTGAACCCTAATTTGCCTCTTACCTCCTGCTGTTACTCGCCTGCTCGTTCGCGTTAGTTCTCGCTATGGCGACTCCGCGAGTTCTTCGTTTCGACGCTGACGGTAGACCTCTTGACTTTTCCGTCTGGCTTCTTCGCGCTCGCCGTCTGTTAGAGAGTCAAGTCCAGGGGGGCGAGACCCTCTGGTCGCACGCTACTGGTGACCTCCCCGAGCCCCCCGAGCCTGCCGCTTTAGGTCCTGCCCCTGACGATGCTGCTACGGCTCGCTTTGCCCGTCAGCGCGCTGACAGGACGGCTTGGACGTCGCGTGACGCTGCGGCCTGCATCGCACTCAGCAGCCTCCTCCCTGAGTCAGAGGAGGTCCACTTCACTCAGGTTCGCACCGCTGCTGCGTACCTCACTGCGATTAAGGCCCGCTACTCTACTCCCGCTACTGTCTCTCTTGGCCGTCTTTTCCTCCCGTTCCTGTTTCCTGATCTCGCCTCGTTTGAGCGCTCTGCTGACTTGATCGCTCACCTCCGCTCGCTCGACGCTAGTTACCGCGCTGCTTGCACTGAGGCACAGCTTGCACTGCTTCCTCCCCCTATGGCGATCACTATCTATTTCATCGCCACTAGCCTCCCTGACCGCCTTGCTTCCGTTCGCGACGCGCTTCTGCTGAAGCACCCTAGTGAGCTCACCGTCGATGTCCTTGAGTCTGCACTCAAGGACGTCGAGAGCAACCTTCGCTCGGTAGCCGCTGCCTCTGGTGCTGTGCCCCCCCCACTCTTCCACGGGTGCACAGTCCCGCAGTTACCCACCTTTACTGCCTCACTTGCCACTGCCGCTACTGACGCGACTGCAGCTGCTGTTACGACTGCGTCGCGGTCCCGCGGTAGGAGTGGCAAGAAAGGCGGTTCTGGTGGTGGTAGTGGAGGTGGAGGCGGAGGTAGTGGAGGTGGCGTTGCGCCTGGCGGCGGTGGAGGTTCAGGGCCTGGAGAGGCGCCTCGTGCAGTGACTGGTGACTCCACTGCGCCTGCTAGTGGTGGCGACGCCCGAGTTCGTCAGTCGCCTCCTGTACTTCCTGCCCCGGTTGGTGGAGCAGCGGCGTGGTACCAGGCTCAGCGTCAGCAGCAGCTTCTGCAGCAGCAGCAGCCCCTCTCCTCCCAGCAGCCTCAGCAGCAGCAGCGGCAGCAGCTGGCTCCAGGGTCGGGGCTGCGTCAGACCCAGCGCGGTGCTGCTTACACTCCCTGCACCTACCAGGTTCTGACAGGCCCTCGTCGTGGCCACCCTTGTGGCCGGTTTCACCCCCCTGGTCAGTGCTTTGCTCAGCTCACTGACACGGTTCGTTTGGTCTACGGGGTGGGTGCTCCTGCCCCTGACTGGCTGCCTCTTGTTCAGCGCTACGGCTCCGCTCTGTGGGGCATGTCTGCTGAGCAGTTAGTGGATCTGATTGGTACTCCCCATGCTATGTATGCTGTTGTTGACTCTAGTGTTTCTGACTCTGCTTACTCTGGTGTTGTTAGCTTAGGTGCTAGCCTTGCTCAGTTGCCTGTTGCTAGTGTAGGTTCTTGTGTAGACTCTAGTCCAGCGGCTACCTCAGAGGACGGTTCGCTGTCGTTCACGCTGGACTCTGGAGCCTCTCACTGCTTCTTTCGTGACAGCACGACACTTACGCCTCTTCCTGCGCCTGTTTCTGTGGCGCTGGCTGATCCCACTTCGGGACCAGTCACCGCGCGTCACACTACCACCTTGCCGTGTCCGGCTGCTCCTTCTGGGTCTCTCACTGGGTTTCACGTCCCCTCGTTCTCCCGGAACTTGGTGGGCGTGCGACCCCTCGTGAGTCAGCACGTGGGTGTGTGGTTTGAGCCTTCTGGAGAGACTGCGGTGTGTGTTGACGGGGACTCTTACCAGCCCCTCGCCACTTTTGCTGCTGAGCCGGGCTCCGGTCTCTACACTCTTCACACTCGCCCGCGCGCTCAGCAGCGACTGCAGCAGCAGCAGCAGCAGCAGCAGCCGCAGCAGCAGCAGCGGCAGCAGCCGCAGCCGCAGCCACAGCGGCCGCCGTCGCAGCGGCCACTCCTCCCAGTTCCTGTCCCTCCCCCTAGTCTCCTCCCTGCGTCTCACCAGGTGGTTCCGTCCCCTCAGGTTGTCGCGTCCAGTCCAGTCGCTGCGTCTTGCTCCTGTCGGTCGCTTGCCCACCCCACCGTTCTGTGGCACCACCGGATGGGACACCCTTCTCTTCCACGTCTGCGTGCTATGTCTAGTCAGCGTCTGGTCTTAGGTCTCCCGCGTGTCTTGCCGTCGCTGCCGCCGTCTCTTGCACCACCGTGCGGTCCTTGCGTCGAGGGTAGGCTGCGCGCCACCCCTCACTCCTCCTCCCTTCGTCCGGCCACCGAGCCTTTTGAGACGCTGCACTTGGACGTCTGGGGCCCCTCTCCTCGCCCTGGCCCTGAGCGTGAGTGTTTCTTTTTGGTGGTCGTTGATGACTACTCCCGCTACACCACAGTGTTCCCCCTGGCGAGGAAGTCTGAGGTGACTTCTACGCTGATCAGGTGGTTGCTTACCACCCAGGACACTCGTGGTCGTCGTGTCAGCTGTCTCCACTCCGACCGCGGGGGCGAGTTTCGCTCCGGCATTCTCGCTGGATTCTGTCGCGAACAGGGCATTCGTCAGTCCTGGACGCTTCCGGAGTCCCCACAGCAGAATGGGGTTGCTGAGCGTCGCATAGGCCTGGTCATGGAGATTGCCCGCACCTCCTTGACTCACGCCCGTGCCCCCCATTTCCTGTGGCCATACGCAGTCAGGTACGCCGCGCACCAGCTGAACCTCTGGCCACGCGTCTCTCGGCCGGAGGCTTCACCGACCAGTCTTTGGACAGGGTCCCCTGGTGTCGCGTCGAGGTTTCGTGTCTGGGGGTGCTTGGCTCTTGTCCGCGACACCTCCGCGGACAAGCTCTCGCCTCGCGCCGTTCCTTGTGTCTTCCTTGGTTTCCCTGAGGACTCCTCTGACTTCACCTTTTACCACCCTCCCTCTCACCGGTTCTTTGACTCCCGTGACGTCCGTTTCGAGGAGTCCACCCCGTACTACGTCAGGTACCCCAGTCGAGGTCTCCCGGTTCCTCCTCCCCCCCTCTTCCTGACAGCCGCTCCCCCGCCTGCTCCCCCGGTACAGCCTCCCCCCCCTGGTCCAGCCCCGTCTGGTGTGTCTCAGGCTAGCCCTCCCCCTTCGGTAGCCCCCCCTGTACAGCCTCCCTCCCCACAGTCTTCCTCACCGCCTCCTGTAGGTGCTCCCTCTCGGGAGGTTGGTCCTGCGACTGTCCCTGTACAGGTCTCTGGTTCTGGGGGTGCTGGAGTTGGAGCTGAGCCGCGGGTTGCAGAGGACTCTTCTCCTCCGGGGGCTGGTACTGGTCGTGCGGAGTCTGGGGGTGCTGGTGCTGCGTCTGGGGGTGAGGGTGTTCCTTCGGTTTCTGGAGAGCCTGGGTCTGGAGCTGGTGTTGGTGCTGCCTCTGGGGGTGGTGTGCTTGGTGCTTCGGAGGTCGACTCTGGGGCTGCCGCTGCCCCGGACACTACTCCTTCCCCCCACCCCTACCCGACCAGGTTCCAGGCTCGTGTTCGTCGTGCTCGTGAGGAGCAGCTGGAGTTGGAGAGAGAGGAGAGAGAGTTGCAGCGGCTCGAGGAGCAGGAGCGACAGCAGCAGGGGCAGCAGCCGCTGGAGCAGCAGCAGCCGCAGCAGCCGCAGCAGCAGCAGCTGCCGACTCCTCATCCTGTCTCGGGTCTTCGGACCCTTGGTCTCCCGTCTCCCTCTCCTTCCTCCTCCCCCTCTCCTCCCGTCTCTGGTCCTCCGCTTCCTCCTCCTGACCCCTCTCCCGCTGTTTTCCCTCGTTCTCAGTCTTCGTTGTCCCCTCCTCCTTCTCAGACTTGGGCCTCTCGTCGCTCCCCTCGTGCTCGTCCCTCATCTCCTGTTCCCTTCACTGACCTTCGTACTGCCTTACTTCGTTCTAGTCCACCTCGTCCGTCTCCGTCTGTGCTTCCGTCTCCTCCTGAGTCGGCTCTCACTGCGTCGCTCCCTACTCCTGTCACTGACTACTACCGCACGTACCGTCCTCTTCTCTCTCGTGTTCTCGCCTCACTTGTTACTCACCCTCGTGCCTCTGTGTCCTCTGTGTCCGCTCTTACTGCCGCAGTCACTGAGTTTGCCTCTACCCGCCGCCTTGACTTCGCCACCACTCTTGTGGCTGCTCCTCCTTCCAGTCCTCTGGCCGTCGGGGGTGTGTCTGCCCTTGGCTGTGACGCCCTAGAGGACAGGCAGTTTGAGCTAGAGTTCCTGGCGGCCGCTTCCCCTCATCTCTGTGCCATGCTCCTCGCCCCTGAGGGTGACCCCGACGCCCTTGACATTCCGACTCCTCGCACTTACGCTGAGGCAGTGTCAGGGCCTTGGGCCTCTCAGTGGAGAGCTGCCATGGACGCAGAGATGGCCTCCTACAGATCCACAGGCACCTACGTCGATGAGGTTCCCCCTCCGGGGGCGAACGTAGTCGACGGCATGTGGATCTACAGGGTGAAGCGGCCACCGGGATCTCCTCCGGTCTTCAAGGCGCGCTACGTGGCTAGAGGTTTCAGTCAGCGCGAGGGAGTTGACTTCTTTCAGACCTTCGCGCCCACCCCGAAGATGACCGCTGGTGCCATGGCGGCACAGGAGCTGCGTTGGTTGACCTTCTTGCTCACCGACCTTGGTGAGCGGCCGAGCTCTGCACCGACCTTGTTCACTGACAACAAGGCGTCTATTCTCCTTTGTCGAGAGCCACGACTGGAGAGCAGAGTGAAGCACATTCACGTCAGGTACTTTCTTCTGCGTGAGTTGCAGAGGCGTGGACAGGCTCGCTTTGAGTTTGTGGAGTCCGAGGCCAACACTGCAGACATCTTCACCAAGGCGCTTCCGCCTTGTGACCACCAGAGGTGCTGTGTGCAGTTAGGCCTTGTTGACACTGGTTCTCGTGTTGCTTAGACCTGAGTGTACTGTTTACTTTGCTTTCTATATATCTCTGTTACTTCTTGGACTGGCCTTGTGGCCACTGTTGTTTGTGCTCAGACTGCGTGGTGACGTTGTGATACGCCCTGAGCTTTGTTTCTTGGACTGGTCTTGTGACCGTACTCGTTTGGTTCTGCTAGACACCCCTCACTTAGGCTATGGGGGTGTGTCAAATGTTGTAGCCTGTAGTGAGGTTTGTCTTAGGGGGTACAAAACTTAGGGTTAGCTATATGTACCCCAACCAACATCAATGCACCATCCATTCTTCATTCTGACACCCTACCGAAAGCTGCGCACCAAGAGATTGGAAGGAGAGGAGCCCACAAGGCGAAGCTGTCCGCCCCCTTCGATCTGGGTCAACGCGGGCTTTGTAGAAAAAATTGGGCCGCTCGCCAAAGGGGTCTAGGTAACAACGCCGTAAAACAAAGGCATGGGTACTTGTGTTTGGGGTAGGGTTGAGGGGTAGCGAGACCTGGCCTCGATTAGTTTTTCAAATTGCAGATTTTCTCCAAGCGAACAGGTTCACTAGGTTTTTTTCAGGGTCCAAGGAGTGGGTATCCCTACCACTTCAAACACTTGCCGAGCCCTTTGCAAAACCCCACTTTTGGGGGGCGAGGGTCAGTCTAGGCGAGGGCTAGACCTTTGCCCGAGTGAGAAGGACGCCAGAACTTTCTGAGTGGGCTAATTCTTCTTGAGTGGGATGCGTTCGACAGGCAAACACTAACCCTTGGGGTTCCAAAGCGTTAAAGCCCTGTGACACCAAATTACGGGCTGACCGTAGAAAAAAAATCAGGAATCGAAACAGCCGCGAGGATTCCGCGAGCGTTAGTGTTAGCCTATCGAGCAGGGCCCTCGAGTGATCCGTGCACCAAACGTACGAAACTTCTGCAGCAGACTGCAAGCGAGCATACGGCAAGAAACACTCCTGCAGCATACTGCAATGCGACGCCTGCGTCCTATGAAAAACAAATCGCTGGCTTGCTTGTTCGGGCAGGTCATGCTTTATTGTCCGAAGCATGGAAAGCGAATCGCTGGCTAGTTTGTTTGGCGCAGGTCGGCCACGTCTTGGGCCAGTTCAGGTTTCACCACCTTATACCGTTGCGCACCAAAATGAGCCGTACCATTGTGAAAAAACGAAGATGTCACCCATATACTCGATCTTTCTTCCATAAACAGTACACTGTATATCTTACCCCAAGGCACCCAGCCCATTCATCCACTTTAACCTTAACCCTTAACCCTAAACCCTAAACCCTGAGTTTCTCTAAAACACTCATGACCTCAGCAGGTTCAGCATATGTAAAGACTCCCAAGCCCACTGATGCTCAGTCTACCCTCCGCTCCCTAAACGGTTGCTCGCACTCAGGTCTCTAACTCCCATTGCACCCTCCCTGCAAAAGTCATCCTCCCCATCCTCATCGAAATCACTTTTGAGAATTCTCAAAAGTGATTTCGATATAGCTGGCTTACAATTCCCTCGCTTTTTGACATGTTGGAAGTTACCTGCGCGGTTACAACACCGCCTGGTAAGGGCTCGCTTCACTACAGCGAACTCACCTGGTATCGAGGATTGGAAGTCCCTTTGACCTTCGGGACTATTTGTCCGCGTTGACAAGGGTGATCCGACTTGGCAGTTGCTTGAAGTTCGGGTAGATTACACCTGGAGTTTGTCTAGACCTAGGGGGATTCGGGGAAGTTATAGGATAACGGGAAAAGGGTAGAAAGGGGGTTAGAGTAGTCTTTCATTCTGTAATCCTACGGCGCTGACGAAGGCCTCACGGCCGAAACGCGTTCGCCCGCCTACGTTCTTTACTGAAGTTGGACTTACCAAGTCCCGATTCTACTTTTTCCCACTCTAAACACCCCTAGTTGTTAGTTAAGAACTTTGAGGAGACTACTCCGCTTGCTGCGGTTCGAACCCATATCCTCGTGCGCATGAGGCTACCTCTGCTTTGCTAACGGGAATCGCCGAGCGTATACGTGGTCTTCGTTCTCATCGTCTATGACTGAAGATCGCGGCGGAAGGGGGAGGGGGAGGGGGAGGGGCAGGGGAGACAGCGGCAGGGGAGGAAGAGGCAACGGCGGAAGGTTCCAAGGAAGAGGAAACCTTTGGGGACAGGGCTAGCAACATTCAGTGAACGGGAGCAGGCTCTTCATTACTTTGGGAAGATGACAGAGTCACAACTAAGGAGAAGAGTGCTGAATAAAAGTATCTTCAATCTAAGCTCTAGAAGACTTTCAGTCCATGAGGAGAAAGTCCTGGGACTTGGCTTGAATTTCATCCCAACACCTTCGCCTGCACAGTACACCACAGTTGTAGCTATTCTGTCTGATTTTGATCATTTTGCTAGAAACCTAAGACTTAGACGTTTCTTTGGGAATGTTAAGAGGGAAGTTAGTTTTAGAGTTCCTAATTCTACTTGGGATGTTCCTGCTGGAAAACGTGATGTATGTCTTGATGCTATAGTCGAGAAACACAGGGGTAAACTTCAACAGCAATTGCTGGAAGTTCAACCCAAGAGGTGGACAAACTTTTCTCCACAGTTGAGGAAAGTTTTGAAAGCCTTGGCCCAAGACCCCTCTATTGTGGTTAAACCCGCAGATAAGAATCTCGGGATAACCATTATGGATAAAGGGTTTTACCTTGAGCAATGCCTTCAGCATCTTCGTGATGACAACGTCTACAGAAGAGTTGATTTTATTCCGATGGAACAAATTCAGTCCAGCTTTTCTAGGATCAGGATGGAATTCCTTCCCTGCATCCCTAAAAGAGTATGGGACTATCTGGAAACACCACCAGAGACAGGCTGGAAGCCAGTCTTAGAATCTTAGGCATGAAGTTGTGTGAGATTAGGTCAAGGTTGGGGTACAAGACTAGAGTGTCGAGAATGTTTCTGTACCCTCTAAGGCTAGCCCCAATATAGCCTAGATACTAATATGCATATGTTTTGACACACCCCCATAGGCGAAGTGGGGGATAGCCAACACAAGGGGTCACAAGACCAGTCAAGCAAAGCAAACCGAAGCAAAGCTCAGGGTGGATCACGATGTCACCACACATTCTGAGCAAAGGTTTAAGGCCTCAAGGCCGGTTCACATGCAGGATGATATATAGAGGTAAACAAACAAGAGCAGGTATATACAAGACACAGTACAAGCAAGGTCAAGAAGTGAGCAAATGAGGCCAAGTAGGCACAAGACCTAGCATAGTACAAAAGCGCTGATGATCGCAAGGCGGAAGAGCCTTGGTGAAGATATCAGCAGTGTTGGCCCGAGTGGCCACGTAAGCAAGGCGCAGCTGACCACGCTGCTGCAGCTCACGAGCAAGGAAGTAGCGAAGAGCGATGTGCTTCGTTCTGTGCTCCAGTCTGTGCTCCTGACACAAGGCCAGCATGGCCTTGTTGTCTACGTACAGAACTGGAGGAGAACGAGGCGGCTCTCCAAGGTCAGTCAGCAGGTAGGTGAGCCAGCGTAACTCCTGTGCAGCCATGGCTCCTGCGTAGATCTCAGCCTCACAACTGGAGCTGAGAACAGAAGACGAGCGAGTAGACCGCCACGAAACAGAGCCGGAACCAAGGCTGAAGGTGTAACCCTGTGACGACCGCTGCGTAGCCAGGTCGTCGACCCAAGACGCGTCTGCGTGACCTGTGAGGACCACTCGACTCCGCCCTCCAAGCACGAGCCCCATGCCTGACGTACTGCACAAGTAGCGCAACACCCTCTTCGCTGCAGCCATGTGCTCTGGTCGGTGTCTCCCAGGAGCAACATAGCGTGCGAGTATGCTGAGAGGGTAGGCCAGGTCAGGTCGTGTGCAGGTCATCAGGTACATGAGGCAGCCAACAAGCTCTGGGTACGGGCCACTCGGCTCTACGGACTCATCCGAAGGCAGAGCTGAGAGCGAGTGGCGAGTAGACAGAGGAGTGGCCTGAGGCGAGGAGTACGTGAAGTCGAAGCGCTGAAGGATCTGCTGCACCATGTGTGACTGAGTCAGAGTAATGGTGCGCCGTGCTCTGTCCCGAGTGATCTGCAGGCCAAGATAGCTGCGCAGTTCACCCAGGTCTGTGCACGTGTGTCGCTTCTGCAGCTCGGACTTCACGTAGGCGAGTCCAGCAGTGTCAGCTGTAGCAAAGACCAAGTCGTCGACGTATACGAGGATGTAGAACGGCGGCAAAGAGGTGTCGGTGCGTAGAAACAGCGACGGGTCTGCAGTAGAAGGAGCAAACCCAAGAGCCGCAAGCGTAGTCCTCAGTGTGTCGTGCCACTCACGCGGCGCCTGGCGGAGACCGTAGACTGGCCGCCGGAGGCTCCACTGGGTACCAGGAGGAAACGACCCAGTGAAGCCAGGTGGGCGGCGCAGCCAGATCTCCTCGTGCAGGCTGCCCTGTAGGAAAGCTGTGCTGAAGTCCAGAGAGTGAAGCTCGTAGTCACGGTGAGCGGCTATGTGTAGCAGCACCCGAAGAGTGGTCATCTTCGGGGTGGGAGAGAAGGTCTGAAAGTAGTCAACTCCCTGCCGCTGACTGAAGCCTCGAGCCACGTAACGCGCCTTGAAGACAGGCGGAGAACCCGGCGGCCGCTTCACCCTGAAAATCCACATGCCACTGACAATGTTCGCCCCAGGTGGGGGAACCTCGTCAACGTAGGTGCCTGTGGACTTCCAGGAAGCCATCTCTGCGTCCATGGCTGCCTGCCACTGAGAGGAGTAGGGACCCTCTATCGCCTCCGCGTAAGAGCGCGGAGTCGGGATGTCTAATGCATCCGGGTCTCCCTCAGGGGCAAGCAGTGAGGACACAAGAT